GGTGGTGGCGGGTTTTAACGACACATTTATATATTTACGCGATCTAACCCAAAAAACCCAGCAATTCCGGTTCAGTGATTCTACACTTGCTCTATTACTATAGTACTATACTGCCTTAAACCTTTATGAACGACTGGGTGTATAGCAAATGAAAAAATACAATTACTTTACTATGCAAGTAAAAAAGGTGTTTTAATATGTATGTGTTGTTATTTAGGGCCCCTTTAGAACATATGCTACAGGCCCCGCACTAGCTTAATCCGGCACAGCCCAGGACTGGTTCAAATATTCCGTCACCAATGTTGGGAGTGAGCGGGACTCGAAGTTGGGCCGCCGAGTTTGTGGGGCAGCCCAACGCTCACCGTTGCACGGCCGTCGGATCACAACACCGCTACCCCGCCGCTCCCGCTAACCTCACACACACACACTACTCACACAGTCAAATCACCCACTTACACCACACCTCTGAGATGTCGGGGCATCGCGCTCACCGTGCACATGTTGGTACCTCCCCTGGCCTCCTGGGTCCCTGGGGCTCGGACCCCGCGTCCCTTGGAGCCAATCCCACTGCTCTTGCCCTTGGAAAAGCGAACAAGTTTGGCGACGATATCGGCGACAACGAAACAGTGACGAGGGGTGAAGCGGAGTGTAGATTCAAGGATTGTATCCCCAATCCAGGCCAAGAGCGCGGCAAAAGGCGATCCCTCTGAACCCCAACCCGAGCGTGAGCAGAGCGAGAAGCGCGCGCGGCCAAAGTGCAACGAGTTTGGGCCAATTCACTTCGCCCATAGCCACTCCCTGATACAGCGCAACAACTGAAAGGGTTTCCTCATACAAAGTATCCTGACATCTGGCTACATGTTCATTTCAACTTTAAACCTCATATCGAATATTTGATTTTAAAAAAGTAGGGTACTTTTTATAAACACAAATTATGTTTCTTATCCTCTACACGTAAACATTCCATAGCTGCTGCCGTTATGCCTCTCACAGCCTCTGTTGGCATGCGCCAATGAAACGCGGAAACCACTTTGGATGTGCTACCTTTTTTCATTCCGCCTTACACTTCAACAACAGACTACTCCACTGATCACTGTGGTTATCACCCTCTTTCAACTCGGAGGAATATTCATTGGGCCGAGTTCATCTTTAATACATGGACACTGATATCATTCCCTTACCTATCTAGTGTTTATTATTCAGGACAAACCCAATAGCACTCTATTAGACGTCCCACAGCACTAAAGTTCATTGCATTGTACCTCGGACGAAAAAACTCACATGGTTATTACTCATTTGCTGTTAATGCCCCTAATACCTGGAATTATATCGCTTACAAAAATGTTCTTGGTAACTCTCCCATCTAAATCACAATTTGATGCCAAGCTGTCAATTCGTTATGAAAACTTTACTTTCACTTGGCACATTAGTTTGAATATTAGTACAATAAGTGACTCTCATACTACCTTGGGGTGCGACGGGCATGTCCTCTGGTCACGACACGACACTATTTAACAACTATTTAACCACGTAGTTCACGTTTCTGGAACTAAATTATAATTGTGCTATGATCAGTCTAAAAGTAAACTACCTGAGCCGATTTACATGACAGGGAATGTATGACTGAATATACATTTGGTTGTGCAATATTTTCAATTTATCATGTGATGTTCTCGTTTTTGCCCCGATGTATATTTTATTCGTTGCTGCATGTACATTGTATAGTTTTGCTTTTGTGATTTTGGTGATTCAGGTCACTTGCAAATTAGACTCTGCTGGTCTCTTTGCTTTTTCACCTGGTGAAACAAATAAACTTGATTTAATTGGACCTCACTCCCCACCCAACATCCTCCTTCACCCTCCCCCTTCGTGTCCCTCCTCCATTATCGCCTTCCTCCCCCACACCATCACCTCCCTCCTCCATTTGCCCCCACCATCACCTCCCCACCACCATCAACCCCACCCCTTACCTGCACCTATCTCCTCCCATATCCCCACCATTAAATCTCTCCATTCCCGCGTCTCCCATTTCTACCCTCCCCCACTCGCACCCCTGCACTCAGGTGATGAGTAAATGACGCTGCACCCCGCAGGACCCACATCAATGCGGCTCTTTGGCTTCCCCCCGTGCAGATATTTGGCTACCCCCTTGCGAGCAGCCGTTTTATTACATTTTAAACGTAATTTGACGCAAAGATAATAAGGAATGTATTACATACGACATGGAATGGGTCACTGTGAAATGTGTTGGTGACAACAAAAAATAACTAAGGGGGACAACAGTGGCGTCACTAGGTTTGGTGTCACCCAGTGCGGTAACTCGTGGTGTCACCCCCCATGGACCTCCTCCCGTACCAGACCGTACAGAATCCTTAGTAATGTGTTTTGTACTAATGTTACTCATAAATCGTAATTCCCGCATATCACTGAATGTAATAGCAATAGTAGTGACGTAAACAACTAGCACATTTTAAATTTCACCTTTAAATTACAATATCATACATACAGCGTAAATGTGCTTTTACATAATTGCACGTGGTTAAGGTGAAAATTCGGTAAGAAAACAATAGAATTCTAAGTAAAAAGAAACGTCTAAACATTTAAGAACGACATTAAATCAGAAAAATAAATTTGTGTTTTGTCTTAAAACTAACCACACGGAGACGTCTGCTGGAGGCAACGCGTTTATTGTAACAACTCTTAACACTCACTACTCTGTTAAACACTATTATGTTAAACACTACTCTGTTAACCACTACTGTAACACGAAGGGGTACGGCCCCTTCCACCCGATTGCCTAAGAGAGACAGCCTCCCTTCAAGGCGTGTCCTACACACGCCGGGCTACGCTACACGCCGGACCCTTGCAACGGCGGCTAGGGGAAGACTGGACCGACCCACCCCGGGGTACGGGACTCGCCCTGGTCCGCTGCAACCCCGGCTCTAGCAAGAGCCTCGGTGAGCAACCCAGGGTGTCCGAGCTACCTCCGCTCCGCTACAACCGGCTCTAACGAGAGCCTCGGTTGAGGGTCCCCGGGTGCTGGTCCAGTCTTCAGGTCTTCAGATGTCTTCAAGCTTGAGTTGGCGAACACTTCCCGCCCGTTCAGAGGGCCGGCCTTTTATCTCCAGGTCGGGGTCACCCCTCCCCTCATGACCCCCCCTCCAGAACCTTCTGGAAGGTCTTAGAGGGTCTTAATTCTTAAGGGGTCTTAGGAAGTGGTGGGGGGCCTCCATCCCCCTCAGCCCCCAGAAGGTCTGGGGTGTCAACCTCCGGTCACGGAGGTCAACCCCTGTCGGCCCGTGAACGGGGTGGCCAGGTCAGCTGCCGACAGCGCCTTATTATGGCGCAACATTTGCAAGACAGTGATGCTTTTCAAGAACATTTTCAAAAGACTAAAATGAAAAAAAAACTGAATTTAAGATTAAAGTTATATTTCTAAACATGTATCAAGAAACATAGAATTTCCCCCCACTTCATGTTTTAAATTGTCAATTTCTCTATTTAGTTATCAGAGTTATTTCATCAATAATTGTTCTACATGTAAGTTTATCAATTTTAATCATAGAATAATATGTGATATAGTTGTAAATTGCTTAAATTTTATATTTCTTAGATTATATGAATACTTACAACATTTTTTGTAAAAAAATGCATTGAATTACATTCTTAGTAAGCAGAAGCCTATTAGTGAGCAGAAGCCTTTTGTATTTTTCTCCTTTTCCTTTAATTACTACTTCATTCTCCAAAAAGTTCTTGATATAGGTGCACAAATACAAATTACCACAATATTGCACCTAAAACACAAGAAAATTTGACAAAATCAGCGACTATAAAAACACGAGCAGCAACGAAAAACAGCGCGTGCTTGTAGCGCGTGCAGACGAAACCACGTGACTCGAAGCGTCACTGGAGTTGGGTAACAATGACGGCTCTGACCGGAGCGCATTTGAAGGTTCAAAAAGTAAATTAGCATAGAGTTTTAGCCTTGTAGGTATATTGATACATACAGTACATGTAAGCTGGGCTTACGAATTTTGTTGTTGTTGTTATAGCTAACTACAGGGATTTTGTTGTTGTTTAAATAATACATTTCTGCTGAAACACTGCACAAAAAGTTAGACAGTCATTGTGGTGTCACCCCCTCTGAGGGTGTCACCCGGTGCGGCCCGCACCCCCCGAGTGACGCCACTGGTGGACAACAACGAAATAGACGCAGTTTATTCCATCGCATATTTTGTTTTAAGTCAGACTTTGTCATCTGCCTGTTTGTGTATGCAGGGGTGCAACTACGGGGTATGCAGCGTATGCAATGCATAGGGACCCAGTATGCCACAAGGGGGACCCGCATGTTACTAAAATGTATTTTTTTAAATGAAAAATTACCTGCGGTCTACGATGGACCAAGCCCGATGAACGCATCTGGCTTTCAAGTCAATAGAGCAGCATCCTAGACCGATAGGCCAGCACGAAAGCGAGACGCATGATAACGTAATTGTATTGTACCTTTACATATTTTTATTAATACCGTCACTGTGAGACTGTTTTCCTCTAAACCCAATACACGGTGCACCTAAAATACTATTTATATAGTTATATCCTACATATTATTGAATATACGGGTTAGAAACATTCGTAGCTATTTCAGTAGAAGCGAGTCGGGAGAAAGGAGAGAGACCCACAGTCGGATCTTGACAGCGCCCCCATGAAAGAGGTCGTTGCGCCCCTGTGTGCACAAGTCACTCCGCTTGTGATGCGACTCTCGAACTAGTTTGGTCAAAGACAAAAAAAAATAGCTCTTCTTTGAAAGGTTGCCGACCCCTGGTCCGGACTTTGCTCCCCCAAACTCGGCCCCCTCGACCTCCGGACCCTGTCCTCACCCAAGACGTCAAACCCCACCCCTCCCTACCTGTATTCTGCATTCCTCCAAGGACCTTCAATGTGGGTCTCACGCTCGCCCACCATAGCGCCCTCCACGTCGCTCGACATCACCAGGCACAGAGTTTCTTGCTCAAGAGTTTTATTGTCCCAGGTTCAACTCAAATTTCCCAGGCAACAAGTGGCCAGCACCGTCCTCACCCGTAAAGTTTAATCACAATGCTTATAACTGGCTCATGTAAGCACAAGTTCCCCTGAAAAAAAAAATCCCATAACAAATAATCACAAGGTTCCCAAAAATACCCAATTTGTTCATGCAAGCCTAGCTCTGCTGACGAGACACTGAATGTCAAAACCAGTCCAGAGATTGTTGAATCGATAGTCCTCAAATGATGCCCTCCCAGAAGGCCATGTGGCGGTTTGGATGTTTACTTTTATTTTTTATGTGGAGGGACATATTATGCAGGAGTTGAACTGTCATGTGTAAGGATGCTAAATATATCCTTATTTAATTCAGGTTACCGCTAACACAGAAGCGTGGCAACCCTGCCATGGAATTGACACGGGAGGGTTTCTATTGACTAGCGCCGGTCACGACAGTTTTTATAGCTTTGCCCGGTGGCCAATGCTGGAAGCAAACCCATTGACATAGCGCCGAGCATGCGGTAGAGTAAACGGCTCTAACATTCGGCGACGCGCGACTCTAATTTACCATTTATTAAACGGTACTAAAGTGGCTATTTTTAGTGGCAATTTAAACAACCTTTGTCAACCTGGTAAACAATAACGACAGTTGTTGCCGTTGAAGTAGATAAGGAACGTGTATCGAGCAACTCAGGGCCATTCGCTTCAACTCCCTTTGGTGGTTTGCGGGTATGATCAACTCTACCCTCAGTGTGCTCGAACTTCTCACCTTCGATTAGCACGGTTGGCTTTGCACGGTGCAAAATAAGTTCAACATACATATTGTGGGTTTACTCTCCAACACACTGGTGTGCTGAACTAGTTACTAAATGGCATGCTTTACGTGGCAAACCTTACTAATCGTCTGTCGGGTGGTGGCGAGTTTAACGACATATTTATGTGAACGCGATATAACCCAAAAAAAAAACTCTTATGGATACATAAATTGTTTTGTGGCAGCGGTGAAGTAATCATGGCCACGGCAACCAACTCAGAACGCTGGGGCCAAACTCGGCTGGAGGCAGCTGACAGCGGCAATTTGTGAGCAGCAGTGACTTCTTGGTCAGGGCGATGCAGCGAGTTACAGGTTCAAATTGTATTCTCTGCAGCGACACCGATTGTATTGTTACATATTCTATATTTACGTTGAGGATGCGTTCCTGGAAAACGCGACATTAGGGAAAACAACAAACATAGAAACTTATTTAACAATTGACTTAATGATATACATTTTTAATACGTTCTTGGGGCACAATTTTAGGTGCAAATTTGCATAAACAAATAAGTACCAAAAAAAGAAAACAAAAGATTTCCAAAAATATTTAAGAAGTTTAAATGTTAGTATAGATTACAGGAATTCCCCGTAATAAGTTACAAGATTATGCATTGTTTTGCATGTACGTTTCTGATGAATTTGGGAATATTTCCTTATACATATTTTTTTTAGAATATGCGTTTTTTATGCATATTGTCTGCGATTGTTAAAACTAAAAATGCACGCGGTCAAAATTGACAATTTCACGAGAGGATTTCCCTCCACACGGAGGAGGGAAGCTGAACTAGACAATGCGGAGTAGACAGACGTGGTGGAGTCCCAAGGTGAGGGCCTGGCAAATGAGGATCTGATGCAGCTGGAACGAGCTGAGGAAAGAGGCCGATGAACCGATACCACCACAACAAATATTCACTGGCATCCCTATGTATAGCGGGGGATTCCTGTACTTACCATAGATGGCAGCAGAGATTCCATTTAGAGCAGGGGTCCCCAACCCCCGGGCCGCGGACCGGTACCGGTCCGCGTCGTGTTAGGAACTGGGCCGCACAGCAGGAGGAGAGCGGTGAGTCCGCGCGTGGCCAGCCTCCATTATTTTATTATTTACAACTTCCATCCGCGCCTCTTTCCCGCACTGCGCACTTGTCTCAGTCACAGTTTTGGCAAGCCCACAAGCTCTAACCCCTAGTAGCCAAAATGAGTAAAAAACAAACGTCGCTGGAGAGCTTCTTTGAAAAGGGAGAAAGACCCAATGATGACCCCCCCTCCCCCCAGTCTGTGAAAGAATTATCTTCCACGAAACCGGTCCCTGGTGCCAAAAAGGTTGGGGACCGCTGATTTAGATGGTCCAGTATTTAGGATGGTGATGTTGTAAACACTGTGTAGTGCGCTGTCACGTATACTGCCAAAACTATTGTTATTTGGAAATGTTTCAAAATAATGGAGGCAATCAATGCACTTTAAATCGAATAATGTTCCAAAATTCGCTGGCGACGTTTAGTGAAACAACGTAAATAGGAGCAACGTAAACAGAGGACTTCCTACTCTTTGGTTCTTTCGGTAAAGTCACGTAGGTATAAAATAAAATAAATCACGTTTCAGGCGAACACAAGCGTCCCACCTGATGACGGACACTTGTGTGGCGCCCGAAACGTCATGATTTACAAACTTAGCATCCCGAGCAGCATCACGAGACCACCGTGCTATCCCTGTGAAAATGTAATGGCTTAAATGTAACGCAGTGCAATGTGCATGGGGGTACACAGGCCACATGTGCTTGAAGTTATACACAACTAGCTTTAATACACGGCCTACGTGGAGGATGGGGGGGGGAGATGCGTGACGTCAGCAGGCACACTGCGTAACGCTGCCGCATGCGGGTGACATCACAGATGTGACGTCACCGCTCACTTGCCGTGCAAAATATATCCATTATTGCGCCCCCCCCCCCTCCCAAAAAAAATACAAAAGTCTATTTTTATACTTTTTGCATTGTGTACAGTCTGGAAGTTACCCACATGCCAAATTTCAAGTTTGTTTCATGTTGGGAAGTATGCTAAACATTTCGAACGGACACACATTCACAAATTTCCCTTTTATATATATATAAGTTGTGTAATCAATGTACTAAGTGGGCTAGGGCAAATTTGTCAATGAAGACTGGTAATATATTTCAGCTCGTTATGTCAAGACTTAACAACTGTGCAGAGTCTAAAGAACCATTCAAATCCAATGCGCATATTGCAGCAGCATCTGGCAGGTGGTGGCAGACAACCACATGACCTCCACGAGCCAGGCCTGTAGCCAGCCTTGCACCAGGCCGCAAGCCACGTCGCTTACGTGGTGCCGTCCGAGCATCACGCGCGACAACCCCACGGCCAGAGCCCAGGCTAGCACTAGCCACCAGCCAAGCCCCGCGATCCACCCGGCACCTCCGCCCGCTCCGCTGAACACCAGCATTGCGAGCATAGCGGCGCGCGTGGCATGACCCGACGGGAACGAGTACTGGTCAACGGAGACCGTGGCGAACATGTCCATGCAATTGTGAGAAGGACGCGGTCGCCGCACCACAGCCTTCACCGTTCCCACCATCACTAGGTCCAGCAGCAGCGCTATGGTGAAGGCACAGGCGAGAAAACGGCACCACACGCGAGCGTTATCCTGATTTCACCAACATCGGCGATGTAACAGAGGTACCTTTAAACACACTTAAGTAGGCATGAGTTACTCTTTAGAAGAGCCCATTTACCAAATGAATACAGCTATGCCAGGTGGCATAGTTAGCGCTACAAAGTTACTCACCGCCTGCCAAAACTGAGTGACGACACCGAGAGTGTGGATTGCAAGTGACAGCGGCAAGACCACTGAGGCATGCAATGTCGCTGGGTCGGAGTGCGAGATGCGTACGGACCCTTGTACACACACTCCTGCATTGCGGTGGCACGGACATCTGGAATTGCCAAACCCGGTGGCGTCATTGCACACATTCGGGGTCATCACAATTCATTGCCACGACACGCGTGAGAGATGAACCCGACACTTGTAACGTGCTGCAGTACTCGCACTGGGCAATAGCGGTGGTCCTCTCCTCTACGAACAACCCACCAGCAGTGCACTCGATCTCGTTCGATCTTGGAAGCTAAGTAGGGGTTGAGCCTGGATAGTGCTTTGATGGGTAACCAGCAAGCATGCCAGGATTCCAGAGGGTGCTATGGGGTTGTGCTCTGCGGTGGTCAGCAGAGGGCAGTGCAGCAAAGCCGGTGGAGAGAAAATGGTTACTCTTTGGTTCTTTCGGTAAAGTCACGTATAAAGAGAAAATAATAAATTAAATACTAGCATACGACGTTTCGATTGCAACACAAGCAATCAGGTATAAATGAAATAGAAACACAAATCTAGTATATTTAGAAATGTAATGTAATACAACAGAGAGTCGGATAACATAACAGTCAACACCCTACCTGGTTGATTACGTTCTTCCTGAGAATGCTAAATTTGAGAGAGAGATAAAACACAGAACCAGAGACATATAGACAGACATATAAGTAGAGACAGATATCACAGAGATACATAGGCACACAGAGAAACCACGCCTCTGTGTCGAGGCCTTAAATAGAGAGAGGGGGCGGGGGCGGAGAGAGAGGGAGGGGTTAGAGAAAATTAGCATGTCAAATGAGTGGCATGCTGCAGAAGCTTGGAAAAATGAGGAGACAGGGAGAGAGACACACTGAATTAAATAACATAGCAAAATTTCGAAATGTAATGCAACACAGAGAGTCGGTCAACACACAATTAACGCATAGACTGGTTGATTACGTTTTTCCAAAGATTGCTAAGTTAGAAGTTAAGTGTGAAATTTTAAAGAAAGACAAGACGCAAACACGAAGAACAGACAAAAGCATAGAGGGAGAGGGACAACAGCTGAGACACACAGAGAGAGCAGAACATAAGAACGACAAAACGATTGGAGACAGAGAAAGTACACTAAATCAAATTTCGATTAAGACCTAGCAAAATTTCGAAATGTAATGCAATGCAACATAGAGGGTCGGTCAACACACAATTAACGCATAGCCTGGTTGATTACGTTCTTCCAAAGATTGCTAAATTAGAAGTTAAGTGTGAAATTTGTAAGACACAGACACGAAGACCGATACACAAGCAGAGAGAGACAACAAAAATCCAGAGAGAGAGAGAAAAAACAAACTTAAACTTCCCCGTAGAAGTGGTTCATACTTAATTTGGAGCTTTCGTGACTGCAGGAATTACTCTTTGGTTCTTTCGGTAAAGTCACGTATAAAGAGAAAATAATAAATTAAATACTAGCATACGACGTTTCGATTGCAACACAAGCAATCATCATTATTATTTTCTCTTTATACGTGACTTTGCCGAAAGAACCAAAGAGTAATTCCTGCAGTCACGAAAGCTCCAAATTAAGTATGAGAAAATGGTTCTCATCCATTTTTGGCTACTGTAGTACTCCCAACATGAATCATGAACATCGATATTTTAACCAATTGTCCATTTTGTGAGGTATCTTTAAATTGCTAGTAACTGCAAGCGAATACAAAAAAAATCAACGGACGCCCTGCATGCGTGACATAATTTGTTTGCGCTTGCTGTTTGCTCTTGGAAACCACATTGCTTACATCAATGAGTTTATAAATAGCTTTTAATATCGTTTTAAGTTACCATATGGGGATTTAAATGTTATCGTAGTTTTTATATTGGGAGATTCATACCTGATTATTCACCAATGACTCTCATGTATGATATCATTTCACACATTTATAAATCATCTCACGTACCCCCCCCCTCCCTTGACATTGACACGTACGCCGAGGGGTCCGCGTGTAACCCCCGGTTGACAACTGTAGTGCAGTGGTTCCCAGCCTTTATGGACCCACAGACCAATGTGAACCCTCTAAGAAATGTCTCAAGACCACCAAGTACAAAAAGCATATTTTTAAAGATTAAAACTATGTCAAGTCATAGTATCGGCATCAGTTCCCAGACCACTTCCCATGCCATTGAGGACCCCTGGGTGGGCCGGAGACCACTGCTGTAAAGTACAGTAAACACCAAAATAACACTCATCCAGCAGTGGATTGACATGTCCTTGAGTAGCGCTCACCGAAGAGTATGTTGATCCACCAGTGTCGCTGCACCGCGCTGTGCCCAAGGTACGTGCACAGAAGGCCCCCAGCCAGCCACGGGATGCCGTGACCGCTGACCTCGATGAGCTTCATGAGGGGCCGCCCCGAGGGCCACTTCGACCCGACCCCAGCGCACACGGCCAGGCGGGAGGTCAGGGCCACGTCCCATGCCACCAGGCGGCCCAACAGTGAGGACTCCGGGGTGCCCTCTGCGCCCAGGGGCCTGTGGCTCACGCTAGCACCACCACCAGCAGGCAAGACGTTTAGATACCGTGGTAAATTCGATATTCATGATATTCGCAACCGACATCACGGAATACTTTTCAAAAGGGAAGCGAAGCCGAAATGGATTTTGTCCCCTTCGCATTAGTTGGTTTTAAATGTCTCGGCGATGTGGTTGCGAATATCGTGAATATGGAACTTCAAACCCACGAGCCATGGTATTTGAGAAGCAGAGCACGCAGGGACGAGGACACCGCCTGGCCTGGATCTGACGGCTCAACAATGGAGAGCCGCGGGCCACGGAGGCCCTTTGCTCACGGCCGACGTGGAGGCCCCGTGACCCGGCACTCTCAACGTGAACCGCTTCGTTTACATTTCAGTGGACAATGCCATGCAATGTCCTCGTGTGCTTTTTGGGTTTCGTTTGTTGTCTTTCCCCCGCACGTCCGATTAGCACAGTTGGCTACGTGGGTGCGAAAGAAGTTCAACATAGGGTATACATGCATGTGGTCCGCACCACCGGCTGTGTTTATGCAATAGGCCTTAGGGCTGACACCAATTCCAATGTATGTAAATCGTGATGAAGATATTAATTTTGCCACCAGATCTCGGTAAAAAATCAACTCCCGCTGCCACCCGAACATATGCCAATTCCCGCTTTGTCTCGTTCAAACCCGGACTGGTGGCAACCCGAGAAGACCTCCTGCGGGGAGCCGCAGCTGCGGGCCCCGAACCCGGCGCGGTGCAGGAGGCCGCCGCCGCCGCCGCCGTCCCGCTGCGTCGTCGCACCTCGACGCCGCCGCCGCCGCCGCCCGGACCTGAAGAGCAGGGAGCTCACAAACCCGCGTTGTGTGGCGCGGGATCTGGGCTCCATTGCGCCTCCTCCACACGGACGCCGCCTCTGCCGCCTCCGCCGCTCCCTCTGCCCTCTTCCCGTCGTCGCCCAGAGACACCCGAGCCCTGGACCCCGGAGCTCGACCGCGGAAGTAGCGAGTGGGCGAGACACGCGAGACACGACGCGAGTCTCGGCGATGAAGGAGCCGCCCCCCGACTGGGTGAGAGCGGCGCCGGTGACCCGGGCCGATCCCTCCCGGCAGGGGGCGCCGTCTCCCTCCACTCCCCGAGTCCGGGAGCCAGGCAAACGGATGGAGGCCGGGCTGTAGCCCTGCACCCACAACCATGTCCTGGTTTACATTTTATTAGTGACTTGGCACGTCATCCCTCCGGGGTCGACTGAGTACCAGTTTGTGGGCAAGTCAACGGTTGGTTGCTCAACGTGTCGGCTCGCCACCGCCATAGGAAGGTGGAGTCACGCCACCCACACCGACCCACTGTCGCAAAGGCTGTGAACAGGAGGTGCGCACCGCCTCAATGCTCATTTGGTCACATCCGTTTTTTTGTTTAAAACAATTGAAACATGTGCTGCACGGTGGACTCGTGCAGCACATGGAATGGGATCCGATGGCATTTCCAAAAGTGTAGGGGAGTTAGTCGCGGCCCTCTGTCATTTGCAGAGGTCCGCAATTGACCGAACCACGTGGGCACACACGAGGGGTTGGGGACATTTGGAGCCAAGGCGGTCCCACCGCCTGCTCTTGCAGAGGTGACTCCGCCACCCTCCAGGCATGAGGGTCACGAGGAGCCCCCCGCCACCCCGAGCACTTTGCGATGTTTCCACTCAAACGCACGCCCGAAAAAGCCACCCCTCCTCCGAGCGGGTTCCATGTATTTATTTTTATTTACAAATAATGCTAAAAATTTTTTTTTTTACAGACTACAAATGTTACATCACCTGTTCATACACTACGTACAGAACCACGTAAAGGGAGGCTGGAAGGCATTGAACATTGAAACAAAGTAAACGGCGGCAGAGAGAAGAGACGTGCCGGATCCATTGGTGTCAGTGTCCCCCCCCCCCCCCCCCCCCCCCGACATCCACCCTCCCTCAGTGTTCATCACCAACATCCATGATTAACAATCCATCCTCAGCGTCCACCTTTGGTCCACCATAAACGCCCACCACCTTTGGCATCTGCGCTTCACGTCCGCCCCTCGTGACACCCCTTGGCAGCCTGGCTCGCGGCGAGTTGGCGACACGGGTACGAAATTAACTCACTTGGCCACCACTCCGGTCTTTGGTTAAAAAATATACAATCGACAAATGTAACAAATGAAATATAATTTGACTATGCCCGTGAAATAGAACAGCTGGTCATTTCACTGTTGCAAATCAAACATTTGCAAACGAGGCAGGGAATTTGCCACGAAGTCCGCTCACTCTCGCGCCACCACTCGGCAGCGCTGGCCCGTTCCAACCTCCTCCTGCTCCCAGTCCACCGACCGCTCGACATGAATACGCGAGTACCGCCATTCTACACAGACAGGCCTCCCTCCCGCGTGACAGCAGGCATGAGGTCACGCCAGGGTCGGTGTTGCAGGTGCGATTAAAAGGGTATAACGCAACACGGAGCACAGGGGGTGAAGAGTGATGATAATTTGAGTGGGGGGGGGCGTTTCACCATTGCCAATTCCCACCACTGGCCCAGTCACGCATGCGCACAGCCCACCCCAGCGCTGTGCTTGTGTCGTGTTCAAAAACCTGTTAAGGCAAACATACATTTGATACTGTGGTCCAATAAATCAGTAAACACAAAAGTTGTAGGTGACAATTCTAAACCTATACCATTCCCTGAATGTGTTGTAAACATTTGGGCACTGACACTACACGTCGCTACACAACCGCACAGCACAGTGTCACATCGATGCAGCAAATAAGACGATGACCACGCAAGACGATTAGAGGGGGGGGGGGGGGGGGTGAGCGCAGTGTGGGGGGGGGGTTACCCCCCCTCCTTCCCGAGGGCCTGGGGTTTCACACTCGTCACGACCACTCGGCTTCATGAGCAAAACGCGTGCAGCCCCGATATTGGCGCACAGCCAGCCCGTGGCTCCACCACCGCTCGTTCACTCACTCGCCCGCCCTCACTCGACTCGGGAGGGCAAGTGAGTGAGTGAGCAGTCACGGCACCGTACGAGGTCGCGGTGGAGCCTGGGAGCATGCAGTCATGGCACTACACACCTGCACGCAGCTCGGCCAGCGGCTATTACCTGTAACCGCCACGTGTCAAAAACAAATCCTTACTAAACATTACATATAAAAATACACAATGACGTTAAAAAGCACAGATTGAAAAGATATCCCAAATTTCTATGTTGACATTTTCAAAAAAGTGAAAGATTGAGAAAAATATTAATAAAAATGCACCATATGCTCAACTGTTGATTATGGCTTTAAACTCTATGCTGGAAATATACATCTAGGGTTATCCTGCGGACGTTTACAAACAAGATTGGATGGCTGACGCCGAATACGTAGACACGGCCCGACCAGGCTTCTTCAGCACTGGTGGGTGGTATTCGATTGTGGAAAAGGAGGACGATGAGAGAACCAGCGCAGAGGGATCGACCCCGTGGAACGATATAGTAGGTGGCAGAAATTCAAGCGGCACGGTGTGGAGCACTGGCTGGGTAGCCCAGGGGAGCGATTGCAAACGGGGAAGTAGGAGGCAAGCCGTGGAGTCTCCAGGATTTGCAGGCAGCCACCGGGACACAAACTCCAGCGAGTGACAAAGGGAAACCCAAGGGTGGAAGGCTGGGATAACTCCAGGGAAAATAAGAGGATGTGTTCAGCGGATGCAGGTTTGCAAAAGAACTAGCAGGATGTTGCAGTAATGCAATAGAAAACCAGAACGAGATTTCACGAGTGAAACTAGGTGATTGTACTAAACGTTTACGCTCCGTTACACAAGTGGCGGGCAGTGGAGTTGTTGTGCAGCAGCGCACATTGTGGTGCGAAGCAAAGACCAATTGCAGCCAAATATTTAGACAAACAGCTTTTGCAGTGTTTCCCCTATTTGTAATGCAGACCACAGCTGTGAATTGACTTTAAATGAACAACAAAAAATCGTGAACGTTTGCCTTGCGGAATTACATAGCCAGGACTTCAGGGACACAAAACTGGTAGAATGCAGACAAAGAGGCGTTGTACAACGTGCAGGCAGAAGACACAGGAGCCATCCCCCCCCCCCCCTTCAATTCTGATGGAGAAGCACATCCTCCGTAGCTACATCAACACAAGACTCCCATGCGACATGGCCCACAGGGTGCTTGGGACAGCCACCGCAGCCCAGCTGGGGCGAGATGTCGGGCCAAAAGACTACTTCTGTGCCAGCAGCCCCATGACCACAATTGGCGAGGAGGTGGCAAGCCAGGGTCTGCAGGTCAGGTTACATCCCGACGGCCGGGGAAGGGAGGCTGCTTGAGTACTGCGGCAGGGTCGACCGGGCTCTGCGTTCAGCGCACAGTTTGAAGCATCAACATATTTAACACTCTCTCTGCATTTAGCTCCGAGTACTGATTTTGACTGTAATACATGCACGCACGCGTGCGGACGCAAGGAGAAAAGTGGCATGTACAGAGTCTGCGGCCGCAGAGGGAGACGTGGAAGCGCAACGCAGGTAGTGTGGTTTGCGTCCCCGCGACGGTCCCTTGCAGAGCCAGCAACTTTCTCGCCGTGGCCACACGACGAGGGTTCGCTTCCCGGCCAGGCGGGGCACACCGGCGGCATTGGTAAACTCAGAAGTCCGGCGCTGTCCAAATGGTATCGCGTGTAACATCACAAGCACGCACGCGCATGGTGCAGTGTTCCCATTCTGGTCGAAAAGTCTGTTGTTGGTGTTTTACAATGTTCGACATCATCCAGGCCGTCTAGTCATCCTCGCCACCCTCCTCACGGCCGAAGCAAACCTGAGGACACACAGTCACCAAGCAGGTTCTGTCAACACCACATCTGCCACACGGCATTTCTTGCATAACCCTCAGTGTTTGTTATGTAACCGAAACATGAGCGAGTACTGTCACCGCACGGCAATGACCCCGTGCGATTGCACGAAGGGCACACAGTAGAGCAGCCGATTGCAAATGGTGCCACTGTGTGCGAGCGGCTTGGTAACATGCATGCAGTCATGGCACTCGGAGCTTCCAAAGTCCCACCCCGACCACAATCCCTCCGTGTCCAACCAAACTCCCTGCCTCTCCCTCCTGGCCAGACTCCATACTGAATAATTAAATACTGAACAATGGGCATGAATCCATGGATGCTACGTAACCTCCGCTGAACACACGTCTGCTGCGTTAACATAGGGTGTGGGAGCTCATACCACACATGCTCATGTGCATATGAGGGTGTGCGCCCACCTGGCGTCCAAAGAGCCTCTGCAAGAGTCCCTTCTTGGGGGGCTGTGGTGGCAGGTTGTCATCGAGATCTGGGGTGGGCGCTCCGTCCGGTCCAAACACATTCAACTCTTTGAAGCATTCCGTCTCGATCATCTAAGACACAAGCACAGGCACACATCAAGAGGGTCCGTGGGGGACACAGGGTTCAAGTGGGCAGGGGGGTGCATGGGCACTTTCTGGGGTCCGCACCTCATCCTGCCAGGGTATGGGAACGCTGCCGGTGGAGAACTTTGAGTAGAAGTCATCGTCGGCAGGGTCCAGGTTGACTCCCTTCACTGTGGAGAACTGCTCAATATCGAGCACGTCCTTGCAGTAGACAGCGCGAGGCTGTCAACACACGCAGACACAACACACACACAGTCCCCATGCCGTTCCAAAGGCAGTTGCAATCACTGAGGATCTCGGCTAGGAGTGCAGTTGACAGCGGCAGAGGTCACGTGACTAAATGTACCTGTGCTAACCGAAACACAGCACGGCCGCACTCTTGCGCCACTCATCTCGCTGTGTGACCATAGACCAATGGCGTGCCACTGCAACCCGCAACAGCGTCTCATTTTTCATCTAATGCAGTTTTTTTCCTAATGTTTTTATCTGTAATCTCATGCAGTTCCAAAATGGAAACCCAAGCACTGGGCTCACTCTGTTGAGCTCCATTTTTTATGAGATTACTGATTGAGCATGAATTAAATTAACCACAATATACCGCTAAGTGGTGGTTACATCATGGCGGCATCTGCGTTTCGGGAGGTGCACAATTTAATCACACTCTTTTTTTCTTCAGATGGACAATAATGCTCACCACAATATAACCCTACCCAAATGCACAAAGACATATTAGATTCAAATTTTTTAAAAGTCTGATGTGCGATTGTTATACTGTTCAGAAGTGGCTTTAGTGACGCATTGCCACAGACGCCATTGCTGACTCGGTCTCCAAGTCTGGCCGAGGTGAGAGGAGTAAACAAACGGCACCCATCACAGGCCAGGGCGTTGCAGCAGCTCCGGTTTTCAACCGAGCGGCCATTACATTTATACACCAAGCGATCGTGCCACCCATTTAATTTTCGTTACTTGCTCCTCCTTTGACAAAGCGCTTTTTTTCGACATCGCAAGGTCGCGTGTACGCACATCGGGCACAAAGGGTGGGTCCATAATGCCAGCCTCCAGCCGCTTGAAGTTGATGTTTCTGAAGAATGCGTGGGCCTTTACATCCGATGCTCCACCTCCTTGGCAGCCCAGCCGCTCCCGTGGGTCTTTGGTTAGAAGCTGCAGGGCCCAACAAGAGGTCACGGTAGTTAGAGAGGCATCAAATAGGCACATAGGGCCCACAGATAACAGTGAATATACAGGTCATGGTGGTCACACAGAAGCCCACAGTAGACACACAAGGCCCACCCAAGTCACGGTGCATGTGAAAAGAAGAGCTCACCAGTGAGCAAAAGGTGCGGGAATCCTCAGAGAACTTGTCCGAGAACTCAACAGCGTCCTCCTTGACGCGGCGGTCCACTTCCTCGCGCTTCACCTTCTCCTTGCGGCCACGGAACGGCGAATGTCCCTCCAGCATCTCGTATACGAGGCAGCCCAGGCCCCACCAGTCAGGCCAGAACGTGTAGCGCTCGTTGTTAATCACTTCCGGAGCTGCACAATGATGTACGCACGCACGCGAACGCACGCTCATTATCACGACGCTCCCACCGTTAACAGCAGCAGTTACCGTTCACATTCGCGTCAAAATGGCTAATATACCAGGCTAGGTGCACTCAACCAACGAAGCAAGTCACAGCCTTACCCATGTACCCCACTGTGCCGACGCGACCCCGGATGCTCTCCCCTTCGGGAATCTTAACAGCCAGGCCAAGGTCCGATATCCGAATGTGGCCTGTGGATGACAGAACACGTGACTCGCATACATTCACGCCAGTGCTAGTGCCGCACGTTATCACGAAGAGACGAGAATACCTCAACTTTTCTCCTGACTCAGCAGCAACCTTCACAGGCAGCCGAAGAGACGCAGCGTGACCCCGTGAGCATGCATGCAAATGCCGCAGTATCTCAGAATAAATCATTTTTCAGTTATGGAAGAAGAAAATATGCAGCCACACCCGAAAAACAATCATTACTTGTTAAAGTAAATCACAAAAGTGTCCCCAACTGCTGTGCTGACCGGGCTGTGCCACACGGCGTTACAACCTGCCAACAGCTGCAGGAGCAAAGGTTAACACGGCTCATTTACAACGGCCGCTACATTGTTGCCAAAAACAAAACCTATAGTTAAAGTAATTATGACGTCAGCAGGGTAGGGAAAAAATCCCCCATCCACATTCCCACGCAGGTTTTGCAGGCTGGGTTTCCAGTTGCTGCACACCTACCAGTCGCCAAACTGCGCACTCAACATCACCCGCAGGGCCCCCAGGCAAAGCGAGAGACAGGGTCCTGCGGTCAATTCCGACAGCTGGAATGATTGGCACTGCAGCCATGAGCACTCACCGTAGTCGTCCAGAAGGATGTTTTCTGGCTTGAGGTCCCTGCAGCGAGAGAATATTGTGTCAGGAGAATAGTCTCACTGCGGTGCAGGGGGCAGCCATTACAGATACAGTTGAGGAGGGGGTTAGCAGTTCAGTTCACTCACTCCACAGGAAGTATGGATGGTAAAGTTGACCAGTTTTTTTTTGTGGGTCTCGGGTAGCTCAAAATGTGGAAGGAAAAACCGGAGGACCCGGAGAAAAATCCACAAGACCACAGGGAGAGATATATACAAACTCCAAATATATAGACGTCAGGGTCGGGATCGAACCCACGACCTCATGTATGCCAGGCGAAGTCATTAACATCTCGCCACCGTGGCAAGATGTCATGGTCAATGGGTCGCTGCGAATGTTGTGGTCAATGTGGGAGCGATAGAGAAGAAAGCCCCATCACATCCCCCCCCCCATCCACCATTGAGCCAGCGGCACCTGTAGACGATGCCCTCGTGGTGGAGGTCGCTCAGGCCACACGTGATCTCAGCGGCGTAGAAGACGGCACGCTCCTCCTCGAAGCCAGGGTTGCCCATGTTGTAGATGTGGAACTTGAGGTCACCACCGTTCATGATGGTGAGCACAAGGCAGAGCGCGTCCTTGGTCTCGTAGCCATACGCCAGGCTCACCTGCACCGCGACAGACGGGCCAACCCCCCATCATTACACATTTGGCGCCTGACGCCATCGCCACCATTGTCCCACTTTTGAACAAACCGTCGGTGGCATCTAAGGCAAGGTTATGGTCAGGGGGCAGCATACTCACCACAAACCTGCTGTTCACCTTCTCTAGGATTTGCTTCTCATTGAGCGCCATCGTTTCTCCTTTCCTCTTTTTGATCCTCTTCTTTTCGAGCTTCTTGCACGCGTACATCTTGCCGGTGGCACGCACCTGACAAGCGCATACCTGCGGGCATGGATTACAGAACATGCACGCACGTCGTGCATCCTTCACAGCAGTTCCATACAGACCAAACACTCACTGAAAAATTACAATCGCACGATCACTCCTTGACGGGACTACGATCCGTTGGAGGGAAAGCCGAAGTCATCCTCCCGTCACCCTAACATGAGCTGAGTTGACGGCTACGAGTTTCCATCTCACGCCCACTGCCCGGACTCCCTGAGTCTATTTGAGCCGTACGAAGTACCCGCGTGAGAATAAAAATGGAGCCAGGAGTCCTGCATCCCGAACACGAAAGTCCCGAGTGTTGTGGCCCTCCTGGACCAAGTGCTTCACTCACCTCCCCAAAACCACCCTTGCCCAGCACCCGGTACTGCCGGAATGTGTTTTTCGTAACCGGCTGCCTAAACCAGGAAAGGCAAAAGCATCGCACGCATTAGAGGGTTTTCAAGCACACATTACATTGCGACAGGTGCATCCTTCTGATCGCGGGAGCGTACCGATTCTATGCACCGAAACGTGAGCTCACTTGCCTGCACACACCACCACACATCGTACTGGTCCTTGCTCACAGCACTCGCGCACACACTGGGCCGCAAGCACAACCTTCAACGCACTCCAGGAATGACGCCTGCAGAGTTCGACACCCCACGTGCCTAAGTGTCCACAGCACACAGCCGGCATCGTGCACACGGCTCCACATGTACTCACCGCTCCAACCATTTCCACTGCAGGAAGCGCGAGAAGTACATGCTCTCCTGGAACTCCTGGAAGGGCTGCCTGCTGAGGTACTCATGCAGCGCCCTACGCATACAGACACCTCCATGTTAGACGTACCAGCGGTAACGACACATTTCGATCGCCGCCGCTGAGATGTTCACGCAAGGTGGTTACAGTTACGGACACAAAAGCATTTTAGGCAGTGGCAGGCCGCGAGGCAAGGCACTGTGGAGAGGTTCGGTACTGCGGAAAAGTGGTGGGGCAAATGAGGTGCTTGGCTTGAGCTGGGCTTAGACTCACTTGGCGGAGGGACCGAAAAGCTCCTTGCAGGGATTCCCATCCAGGTTCTGCTGGCACTGTCTCACCAGCTCATCGCTGATCCCCGGTACTGCCTCTGGTGACTGGAGCACAAAACAACAGGCAGCTCATAGACCACACTCCCACGTGCAAGTGCACCGTGTAACGCTGTTGGTCTCTCGAGCATGGTGTGATGTCTGTCGTGCAGGTGTACGGTGTGAGACTATGCGTTGTACTGCAGGTGCAGAACGATGCCTGCACAGCTATGCTCACGTCGGGAGTGAGGTGCTTCTTGATGATCTTCTCTCCCTCTTCTCTCCGCTTCTCATCTGGGCTAACTTCATAGTCGACCTGTTTCAACACACGCAGCCAACACAGCCCCTTGCTGAGATTTAAACACGCGCACATGTGCTGCTCACGAAAAGTAGCAAACCTCAACTCTCATCATGCCTTGCGTGCATGTCATATGACCACCACATTGCATGTACAATGCTCTTTGTCTTGTCACATATTTCTGTTAGTTTTCCCATAATATACAGTTTTGGATTTAAAATAAAGTCTCTAAAAAGTACACAACTATATGTGGTGAACATTAGCATCAAAACAAATAAGGACACAATACACTTCCTTCACACAATTATTTAATCTCATGTTATACATAATTCTTATCTGTTTGGCAGTTCAAACGGCATTGGTTCAAGCAAGTCCGATTAAGCTGATGAGAGACTAAATGTCAAAACTGATCCAGTGTTGGACTGTGTTCAACCAATGGCTTATGGCTGATAAGAAGTGTAAAGAACACTGATTTTTTTATGCAGAGCGACAAATATGGGAAGGAGGCGAATTGTCTGCTTATTTATTTTGTTACATGCCACAGAGGAATCGATCACACGGAAAGGTGTGCACACGGAAAGGTGTCCTCTGATGCACGCACTTAGAAACAGCTTAAATAAATGCACGGCAGCAGCAGCTGACATCACCAACGGTGAAACGAGCAATAGAACAGTGATGTTTGTAACAGGCACCAAAAAAAAGAGCACTCCAAAAGAACATTAAAATACACACCGCCGTAAGGACACAAACTGACATTGATTACAAAAATAAATCTTCTGGTATGTACAAAAATATACTTGGGTTTGATAGTCAGGGGTGTAGTCAGCGCAAAATAAGTGTGGAGCCGATGAGACCCGTGTGGCCTGTGAGGTGAGTACAAGCACTGTAGCCTGTGTGCCTAACATGTATTTTATGCATATCCTGTGTGTGCTGTATATATAAAACTGTGTGTATCCAATGCTTAACCCATGTGTATCCCACAGACAGCTCATCTGTATACTGTGCAAATCAGTGTGTATTCAAAGCAAGTCTTGTGTGTATATAACCGCGCGTCTCAGGTGTGTGTCCTGTGTGTATAAGCACACTTGTTCTGTCAATGTCCCTGTGTTTATCGCACATCCCGTGCGTTTAGCGAGCGGCTGCGGAGGTTGCGTGCGGTTATCGCCGCGTAACCAGGAGGTGACGTGTGCCGGGGTATCCAGGAAGTCCGTTATGCAGTCGAGTGGGACCGTGGCCAGGAAAGGGAGGTGGCCCCAGGGAAAGGGCGGGGGGGGGGGCGCAGAGGGGCCCACGAGTTTGGGACAACGACCGCCATGTGCTCCTCTTCCCGCTGCTCGCTCCGCAGCGCTGAAGCTACGCACACACGTGCATGTCTGGAGAGCAGCCGACTCAATTGTGTGGGACTGGGGGAGTCTGCTGATTGCAGCCAAGCGCTGCCGTTCGCGAGCATTCCTACCGCCACGCGCAACGCTTCCTGTGTTGAGTCACGGCCATTACACGGCATAAACACGTCCTGGCACACAGCTCCGCACCCAAGCCCTTGCCTCGCTCAAGCTCGCACACACTCCTGCGTGCGCACTCCCCTGGGCATTGACGGCTCGAGGAATGGAAACAACTCCACCTGCTGCTCACGGCATAGCGCACCACTCCCCCTGGTTGGTGCCATGAAAACACGGTCGTCAACATTTGGATACGAAGGCACAGGCTGTGTACGTTTCAACGGTCACCACAAAAATAGGGAGACGGCCGGGGTACCCCTAATGGCGTGGAGTGGATCGGGACGGCACGGAATCGCGCCGGGTCGTGCGTCACGCACGTCATGGCGCGACGGACGTCCCTGTCGCCAGATCGTAGGCGGGGGCTCCCCATGAGGATGACACCTCCTTCTTAATTGCGTCAATTAGGCTCTAAGCGTGTCTAGACGACATTAGGCCATCGTGTGACGTGGGCAAGCCATGTGCAGCACTTATAAGCGGCAATCAGTGCATGCTCGCTCACTGCCTGCACAGACACATACGGTGCGAACACGTGTGTAACAACACCCGGCGTGACTGGTGCGACGAGCACCCCCAACACTCGCACATTCAGTGGTTCCGAAACAGAACACTTCTCTTTCGGCAGCTTCCCTCGCACTGCTCGACTATGCAAATTCCTCCCATCGTCTCGTCTCCCAAGCTCTCGTCTGTTTTGGTGCTCTGCCTCAACGGGCGGTGTTCTTGGTTGCAATTTTCCCCATATTTCTCCATCCTTTGCCCTTCATTTCCACAAATGCCCCCCCTCCCTTCAGCTCCTCCAACATCCCAATCTTTGGCCTTGCTTTTGTTATTTTCCCTCACATTATTTCTTCTGTAATATGTCCTCATTCATCAACCCATGCCCTCGATGCATCCAATCCAGTTCTTCTACCTCCGTCAGATGAAATCCATTATCTCTTTAAAACATGCTAAATGAAAGAAAATGTTCACTCCGACCTATTGCAGAAACTTTGACAGTGCTGCTTGTTGTTGACCACTTAACATTTTGGGCCGTGGACTGCTGTGCTCAGAAAACCGTGTAAAATAACAAAACAATCAGTGGTTCCTATAAGAAAACTCATCGAGGGGCTCCCTAACGTGTTCTCAAGGTGAACAGCACAGGGAGGTGGGGGGGGCCTCGAAGACCGCCCTCACCCAGTGGCAAGAACTCACCCGGTCCCGTGAAGACCCCAGCGCCGCTGTGCATTTACAAATTAAAAAAAACATTTTTATCTTCACCGTGTACAAACGTACACACCCAGACATACATCCGTTAACACTGAGCCTCCGAGTCATGGCATAATCGCTTGGCTAACCAAAAGCTGGCCCATAAATGGAGGCGAGGAGCTCGGTACAAGCTTGGTGGCGGTGCTGGGACGTGATGGGAGCCTCGTCTGATGGCCTCGTGCCGTTGTGTGCGTAGCTTCAGATCTGGGGATGAGGGACCTGGATCGAAAGGAACGGGGGGGGGGGGGGGGGGATCTGGGAAAATGTCGCGTTGTCATGGTCGTCACCCTCCCGGGCGTGCGTGCAATAATGGGCAGGTGGTATTTTTGACAAGAGTGGGCTTCCTAATGCAATCAAACGCACTGTGATAGAAAATCGACACCACTTAAAGCGCGCCTGATTGGTTTATAAAGCCACGTGAGGGAGAATGCCCGCGTGCGATTATCTGCACCCCCCTCCAGAGAGGCCACTGTTTACCACAGTCACCACGGACACAGACACGGCCAGATAACATCCATCTCCCAGAGAACTTCCATGACCGTAACTCCGATAAACCACCGTGAGGCAACGAGCACAGCCTCGAACGTGGGGCTCCGTGCCTGGGAGAGACGCACACCCACACACAGGACAAAGACAAAGTTCCCCCTATAGCCTTTAACAGACCGTTGGGGAAAGTGCTGTTAGCAAGCCGCTATAAAGGCCGGCACGGCACACCAGGGGGTGGGCGGACAGTACCACGACTGGCCGCCTTTGTTTCTCAACTGCCGATATTTACACACCTCACTAGGTAATGATTTGAAGCGGAGTCATCCTAGGGGAGGTCCGCCGGGACCAGCTCAGATAATCGTCACTGGTGTTGGCCGTGAGCGGGAATCAAACTCGGGTTGCCCAGGTTCAGTCACGGACACAAAAAATAAGACAAACACACAGTCATATGTACACACACAGGCACGTGAACATATACGACACACAGTTCCAAACACTTACAGGCATGCACACACACACAGATACTCACATAGATGCAGATACACACAGATTTACAAAGACACATGGTCACATTCACAAATAGGAACGTACAAACAGATACACACATACGCACCAAGGCACATGGTCGCTCACACAGGAAGCACGAGGGGAGAACAGGACCCCTTTAGGAGCGGCTCGGCGCTCCGGGCGCATTCTGCGAGGCATGCGGCCACAGTTAGAGCCAAACAAACACGCAGCTATTTTTAAACCTCTGCGATAACGGCAAAAGTGGATGTGATGTCTCCAACAACTTCTGGGAAGCCACGATTTATAACCTAAACCAACGACTCCTCAACTCCAACAGGGACAATGGCACGAGGCCATCAGACGAGGCTCATGGAGGACGACGTTCCCACAGCAGAGACAGCAAGAATACAGCGCTCACCCTTTAAACACGGGCTAGCAGGGAGCAGTGACACATGACGCAAACGACACGAAGGTTTTGGTTGGCGAAAGAAAACACCGTAATTTAAATACTTTAGACGTCCAAGGATGGTGAGGGTTAAAGTTCAGGCCGCACAAACAAAACGTCAAATTTTCCAGGAAGTATTTCTAGATGCTGCAGTGGCGTGTTGTGGTTGGGCCGGTGCCGCGCCCAGCCCCGCGCCACTCACCACAGCTGACTGCCACCCTCGCTACTTCGCTCACCGTGACACCACGCCCGTTGCCCCAAACAGATCACCGCACACGCACGCAAGCTCACGGTGTGACACTTCACCATACATTATATATCCCGCAAACTCACGCCGCACGAGGCTGTGCTGCGTTAATCAGCAAGTCGCACTACCGCCACACAAGCACCAGTGACCGCACACCGTGCCAGGGGCTTTACGACACCGCCATTTTCCGCAGGGGCATGAGGATGCACATTAGCACAAGAGGAAAAAAGCCTTTAGAAAGATGCGCACGATTGCAGGAGACTCTTGCGCAGCGCGCATCACACTGAGTGCGTGCAACCTTCCTGCTTCTCACAGTGCAGCAAGGAGGTAACCTCGACCTGGGAGGTCCGTGGGGTCCATGACCACGAGGTCGTGGGATTGCCTGGGGTGTGTGCCGCCTGCGGAGCGACGTGGGCAGGATGTTGGGAGTGCACAGGGTGCAATGAGATGGTGGGTAAGTGGTGCAACAGTGTAGGTTGTGCAGACAGTGCACAAAGTACGAATTATGGGGGTGGCGCGGACAGTGGGGGCAGTGCAGGTAGTGCAGGCGGTGTAGGTAGTGCGAGTGGTGTGGGTAGTGCAGGCGGTGTGGGTAGTGCGAGTGGTGTGGGTAGTGCAGGCGGTGTAAGTAGTGCAGGCGGTGTAGGTACTGCAGGCGGTGTAGGTAGTGCGAGTGGTGTGGGTAGTGCAGGTGGTGTGGGTAGTGCAGTCGGTGTAAATAGTGCAGGCGGTGTAGGTAGTGCAGGCGGTGTAGGTAGTACAGGCGGTGTAGGTAGTGCGAGTGGTGTAGGTAGTGCAGGCGGTGTAGGTAGTGCAGTCGGTGTAGGTAGTGCAAGTGGTGTGGGTAGTGCAGGTGGTGTGGGTAGTGCAGGCGGTGTAGGTAGTGCAGGCGGTGTAGGTAGTGCAGGCGGTGTGGGTAGTGCAGGCGGTGTAGGTAGTGCATGTAGTGTGGGTAGTGCAGGCGGTGTAGGTAGTGCAGGCGTGTAGGTAGTGCATGTAGTGTGGGTAGTGCAGGTGGTGTAGGTTGTGCAGGCGGTGTAGGTAGTGCGAGTGGTGTGGGTAGTGCAGGCGGTGTGGGTAGTGCAGGCGGTGTAGGTAGTGCAGGCGGTGTAGGTAGTGCATGTAGTGTGGGTAGTGCAGGCGGTGTAGGTAGTGCGAGTGGTGTGGGTAGTGCAGACGGTGTAGGTAGTGCAGGCGGTGTAGGTAGTACAGGCGGTGTAGGTAGTGCAGGCGGTGTAGGTAGTGCGAGTGGTGTGGGTAGTGCAGGCGGTGGAGGTAGTGCGAGTGGTGTGGGTAGTGCGAGTGGTGTGGGTAGTGCAGGCGATGTAGGTAGTGCAGGCGGTGTAGGTAGTGCAGGCGGTGCAGGTAGTGCAGGCGGTGCAGGTAGTGCAGGCGGTGTAGGTAGTGCACGTAGTGTGGGTAGTGCAGGCGGTGTAGGTAGTGCAGGCGGTGTAGGTAGTGCAGGCGGTGTAGGTAGTGCAGGCGGTGCAGGTAGTGCACGTAGTGTGGGTAGTGCAGGCGGTGTAGGTAGTGCGAGTGGTGTAGGTAGTGCAGGCGGTGTAGGTAGTTCATGTAGTGTGGGTAGTGCAGGCGGTGTAGGTAGTGCAGGCGGTGTAGGTAGTGCAGGCGGTGTAGGTAGTGCAGGCGGTGTGGGTAGTGCAGGCGGTGTAGGTAGTGCAGGCGGTGTAGGTAGTGCAGGCGGTGCAGGTAGTGCAGGCGGTGTAGGTAGTGCAAGTGGTATGGGTAGTGCAGGCGGTGTAGGTAGTACGAGTGGTGTAGGTAGTGCAGGCGGTGTGGGTAGTGCAGGCGGTGTGGGTAGTGCAGGCGGTGTAGGTAGTGCAGGCGGTGCAGGTAGTGCAGGCGGTGTAGGTAGTGCAAGTGGTATGGGTAGTGCAGGCGGTGTAGGTAGTATGAGTGGTGTAGGTAGTGCAGGCGGTGTAGGTAGTGCACGTAGTTTGGGTAGTGCAGGCGGTGTATGTAGTGCGAGTGGTGTGGGTAGTGTAGGCGATGTAGGTAGTGCGAGTGGTGTGGGTAGTGCAGACGGTGTAGGTAGTGCAGGCGGTGTAGGTAGTGCAGACGGTGGAGGTAGTGCGAGTGGTGTGGGTAGTGCAGGCGGTGTAGGTAGTGAGTGATGTGGGTAGTGCAGGCAGTGGTGGGGGCAGTGCAGGCAGTGGGGGTGGTAGTGCAGGTGTCATCCTCACCACGGCATTGAGGAAGCGGATGCAGCAGGCGAACTTGGGGCGCGTCTCACAGAACTGCCGCCACAGGAGCCGCCCAATGGACTGCTTCTCACACAGGCTCCAGTAATTCCTCTCTGCAAAACACGCGAGACCGCGCGTCAGCCACACACACACAAATGTTCCCACGTAGCTGTGGGACATGCAGCTACAACTTCGCTTACAAAAATAAACATCCTGCCCGGGCATCCGCCAACTCCGTTGTCTGTAGACTGGTGGCCACCCCATCTCATTCCTTGGCCTGCGCACAGCGCATGGCCCACGTGACCACGCCACGAGGCTTCGCGGACAGAGAGGCCCGGTAAGTGCAAGCGTCGCCGCATTAATCCCGACCCTTGCCCCAGTGAACCAGACAGTTCCCGGCCATCTCTGCTCCCGTGGCCCTGTCGAGGTTTTTCACGTGCAAGCCAGCTACGGCCCAAGCCGCACAACCAAACACATGCTCCTCGCTGATCATGCGTACACCTGTTCTCACAACTGTGGAATGCGTCACTGCACGGTCCAAATAAAATGCATCGCTCCATCCTCTCATTTGAATGTCAGAACTCTACAAAGGTCAATTGTCAGTGGGACCCTGGGGGTCGGCTGAGCCATCGAAAGAGGACACCAGTCAGTTCGTGCCAACATCAGCAAAGCCCGTCGGCTGCAGGACCAGGTTTTACAGATCGTACTGCAAACCCCCACATCACCGCAGGGCTTTTCCGTTTATATTACGCAGGTTATTTTTAAAGATAAGAAAGTTGTAAGCTTCACCATTTTAAGAAATGTACACAAAGCAACATATTTTTCATAACTCTCAACTTCTGAAAACGTCTTGATTCACGGAATTCAGGTTTACCTACTGCATAGCAGGGCAGCGCTAAGCCAGTCAAATCACAGAGCCCCGGGCACGTGACCACCGTCACCCCGCCACGCAGCCCCCCTGGCAGGGTTGAGCACATCCCACGACTCCGCGGCCCTCGCCCGCCAAGCTAGGATCGGTCGCCACGTGCCGGGTAAATAGCGAGGTCCATGCCGTCGGGTCCCGAGGCCTTCCTTGCACCCACGGGGAGGCGGGCGTCGAGGCTCTCGCTCGCTCCCCACACGCATTGGGAATGGCACCGTTTGCTAATCGTAGTGGAGGGATGGAGGGATTCCTGGTTTTCCCCTTCGTCCTGGCCACCTCCATCGTAAACCGGCTCATAGGACTCGGGCGTTGCCGGCCTCTCTTCCTGCATCGCCTGTCGCCATCCGTACAACGCATCTCAGTCTTTATTTATCGTCTGACGTCGAGTTTCCCGTGTTTAAGCTTTATGGAAATACCCGAGTCGCCGTCCTTCTTTGTCATTGAATTTGTGCAGAATTATAACCAAAAAAAACAGCAGCAACGAGTGTAGGGTTTTTGTGTTCCTGAGAGGTGCTGCCGTGGACAAGCTTCATGCTGGATGGCATTACAACCACCAGGACACTTAAACCCACCCCTCTCACAGATAATATTGGCCTCAAGGGCACAAGATGTCGCATCTAGTTACACTTGGTGGAAGTGGTGCATCCCACACAAGGTTTCGTGTTCATGACGGAGATTACTCGAGGCTGCCCCGATCCTGCACATACCCAGCAGCGCTTCGCACATAGTGCGGAGTGCGCTCAACCAAGAGTGTGCGATGGCGTCTCACGACCAGGAGCTTCAAACGCCTCCCCCTCCTTGACAGTGCTCAAAACACAGGGCCCTGCACGCAGCCACCCAGCACACAACCACCTTTAACTCCTCACGCCCCATGTGCACTCGTAAAGATACAAGTGGAGCTGCATGGCCTCACCACCACGATGAAACCTGGGTCGACACGGAATGCGTTTTGGAGGCCACGCGCTCTCCCCACCACGATAAAGGCAGTACCATGAAGCGATACTCCAACGACGACGTGTCTTTTCAAACCACGGGGAAAAAATGAGATGAGTAGCCCAGACTCCTGTTCCAGCTCAGTGGAGGCTGTGGGGCGCAGTGTGGCCTCACCTCTTCCATGAGGGATATAAATAGAGGGGCTCCCTCCCTTTCCAGTCGGCCCGGTTTTTTGACACAGGTGACGTGAAAAGCCCTCGGCTCTCACCCAGCAAGGACAAGGGTGGGGGTTGGCAGGAGCATGAAGAGGGAGGCAGCGGGAGGGGAGCAGAGGGAGGGGGTAAGGAAAGGGGGGTATGGGAAGAGAAGACTTTGGCACTCCATGAGCTATGTTGTGGACCTGATTAGTAATATTCATGACTTTACTTTGTACTCACAATCATTAATTACCCAAGATAGATTATTTAGCACTGTTTGTTTCTGGAGACAGCCAGCAGTCTAGAGGCTATATTAGCCACACACAGTTAGCTCTTAGTGCTTCTCTGTCAGCCACCAAATTGCTCAGCATCAACAGCGTAGAGCAAGGATCAAAACACAGCACCCAGAGACCAGAGGCACAGTCCCAAGAATCAGGGACATTCCCAGGAATCAGGGACACAGTGCGAGGAATCGACCACAGTCCCAGAATTCAGAGACACGGTCCCAGAATTCAGAGGCACGGTCCCAAGAATCAGCCACGATTCCAAGAATAGGAGACACAGTTCCAGGATTCGGATACATAATCTCTCTGGGCGAATCTAGCAATAATTTGAATGGGGATGAGGCAGCGCTGTGCCTATCACCAGCCAAGGGCCTTTAACCATTCCACCTCGTTTACGAGGGACACCTGGGACCTTTGCACACACTAACAGCTTTTACATGCAAATTCTTTCATGAAGCTAAAACGAATGTCTATTTTTAGATTATGCAAACACCCCGTCCCAACAGACAATGTACACATTTACATTCGAGGATTCAACAGACCCAGCAAACCCCAACCGAGAGTGCAGCGTCCCCTCGCCCCTCCCCACCATCTCCCTGGTGAGGCGAAGATCCCCTCCGTTTTGTGTTGTTTATTTCTTGGATTCCGCCCCCCTTCCATTTCTTACAGCACTCGGACCAGAAGGGGTGTGAGGTGCAGCCACAGAAACCCTCTATAACAGTCTCTCCCAAAGCAAAGCCACCCAACCTCAGCAAGCTTAAAAAAATGTGTTATACACAAGAAAGGTTAACAGAGTCTCTTGACTTTTTTGAGGGTTCTGCCAGTAGCAAATGATTTCTATGGATATGTCAATCGAGTAATTTTCAGATATTTTTATTTATTTGGACAATCGTGCTGGCACAGTAGGGCCTACTCTTGCATCAGCATACGGCACGCCATTTGTACAGTTAATACACCTGCAGAATAAATCTGAGAGGCCGGCGGGTTCGAACCATGAACCTCTCTGTATTAAGCGGTAAATGCGCTACCAATCGGCCATATCACTGCCTCTCCACCTCCCTCCCACCGAGTCACCACTACAGCCACTTTAACCGAAACAGCGGCTTCAGCATCAATTCGCTCGCTACCTGGATTCAGATAACAAACATTGCATGCGCATGGAGATTCATGTGACCGTGACATTTATGAATCGTGACACATCGGCGCAGCAACAGTGACCGTGACGCCGAGATTCTTCTTGGTATGGGAAACAGTTCCCTTCCTGTCATGACTTCGGCATGCCCAGTGTCATGGCCCTTCTCTCGTATGGTGCAAATTTGGCCAGAAATGTTCATATGCTTATATTTAAGATTCGCGAGTGATGAACAAATGGATAGATTTTGGAGGCCCCGTTCGAATATTTGCAATGCTGCCGGGAAGCAATAAAAGCAGGCAGCGGTGTTACCGTGCGGTTCATGGTTTGAGATTAGTGACTGTGGTCGCACTGTGGGATCCAGGGTCACCGCAACACTTGAAAAGCTGCATGGACGAACGACTCATGTTTAATGTTTATGCCATTTGTCCAGCGCCCTTGTGATGGCTTGCCATGTTACGGCATTATAGGAGTTGGCATCGTTATTATTATCTCAGCGGGGGATGTGCAAGCACAGCGAGGGAGTGACGAGCTCCGGGTCGGGCCCGTCATGCCGTGGTTCCCCAAGGAAGCGAGCTGACACCGCCGCGCCGCCCTCTGAAGCTGCTGCTGCCGCATTCATCACCGCACCGTCACCCTCCCTCACTGGCGCTCGCCACTCTCACAAGGCAGTGCAAGAAGTGTGCCCTCGTTTACTCAGCACTTATGGCCACGACCACACACCCGGTCGACCTGCGGTGACACGAGCAGCAGCAACAGCAGAGCTCCGGCACCGCCGAGGCCGCCATCGCACGGGGGCCGGTACCGACAGCGCTGGCAATCAGACTACGCCCCATCCATGCCTCCGGTTTAACTGCTCAGCGTCACCAACAGATGTCTCTACTTTCACAACTTAACCCCTCCGTAATGTGAGACTGACTTGTTGCATCACTGAGAAAAAACACACACATACATCACCATCGCAGCTGTGGCCGCAAGCCAAGCATTTAGCATGGCAGCAATGCACACCCCCTGGTGTGTGCAGGTGAATTACTGCTGAATAAAGCTCACGTTGCAAGTGGCCAGCACCAGTGTTTCACTGAGAAACGGTGTTCACACAAGTGAGCAAACGTACAGATGTACACCTCCACAGGTAAACATATGCAGGTAGGTAAACATCCATACAGGCGAACACATACATACACACACGATCGTTCACGCAAAGGCGCACACATCGGTGAATGCAAGCAGAGCAACACACTCACATGGAAGTGAACACACGCAGATGAATACACCCATACAGAAAAACAACCACACATGCCAAATACAAGTTGATACACCTACTCAAAGATGCGTGTGCTGTGGGCATGCTATCTCAGCCACTACGTGCAGCTGTTCCCCCTGTGAAGTGAGTTCCTACCACTGTACGTTAAAGGTACAAAGCGAGGCCTGTGACCTGGGCGTGTTCCAATGCCTGTGTTGGCTTCACGAGCACAGAGCTCTTCACCCCACACAGGCGAGGGAGGGTGTGACCAAAGCACACACGCACACAAAGGGGCTGTCTATGCGTGGGAGTTGCACGAGTGAGCGAGCGGACAGCGCAAGTGAAACATGACCACGGCAGGACAGTAACCGGACAGGCCGGTTCAGCGATACCTCAACTGTCCTTAAGCGCGAGAAGAGCCACGCGGGAACTAGCCGGAACAAGAGGGGTGATGTTGCCACGTTTTGCCGTGCCCAGCGCCCCCCATAAGGGTGCCATGGTGGTTAGGAGATGTTCACGACGTTGCCTGTTATACAGGAGGTCGTGAGTTCGATCCCGACTCTGGCACCTGTATATTTGGAGTTTGCATGTTCCCCCCGTGGTCATGTGGATTTTTCTTCGGGTCCTCCGGTTTTTCCCTCCATAATTAGAAAATACGTTTAGCGTATTGAGCAGCTATACATTTCCACATGGTCAGCCACTTCGTTGAGCTATCATTTATGGCCAGATAAGTGCTGAAAAAAAGCTATGCAGCTCAGTGGGCTTTACCTGGTAACATAAAAATCGTCCATAGACCAGAAAACAAACTGGTACCACCTAAGGTAGAAAAAAAATTGTACCAATTTACATGCCTAAAAAGTGCTAAATTATTTGAAAACCCCACTCATTTGTAATTGTTACCACATTATTAAATGTTGTTGACCACAAAGAAATTTAAACCACTAAAGCGATGCCACCTCAGGTGGTCCCACCCAACAAGTGAACTAATCAGGTCAGGGCACATGGACGAGCAACGCTGTGAGGCCAATTCTCTCTTGTTGCTCGTGTCCCACGACATTTTCCAGAATGGCACGCAGTCCCCAGCCCCCGGGGCTCTTGTCTTACCGTTTCCACAATGCCATCCACCTGGCTCCCCACAAGTCATGTGGGCTCTCATCAGTCTCAAGAGTCATCGTGGAAATGAAGAGCAGGAAGGTGGGGAGAGGGAATGTGGGTGGTGCAAGTGCACAGGGCCATCAGGGGATTTAGAAATTGAGAGAGGGGATAGAAGTAAGACGAGGAAGCCAAGAAGGTGGTGGGGGGAAGGAAATGTAATGGAGAGGGGGAAGGGAGGAAGAGGGAGGACAAGGGGCATAGGAAGCCCCACGGCATTACTCACCCACAGTGCGACGCAGCTCCTCGCACTGGCTGATGTGAGGGAACCTCAAAATCTCTTTCCACTTCTTGCTCTTCCCCTTTCTCTTCCCCCCACCACCTGCACAGAAAACACACAAATCAGTGCCTCGGCAAAGAAGATGAATGACAGAATCTCATTCATAATCAGCAATTTGATTGTGGTCACATTTTAAACAGTCAGTGAGCTGCAAAGAGTAAAACTAATTTTTACATTTTGTTGCAGAAGCCAGAGATGCCCACACTACACAGTCCAAGCCCCACATTCCCCCTCCCCTCATATCCCTTCCACCACAAGGCTCCCCCCCCCACCTCGCGGTGCCTAAATATTTACCCTTGTATTGGACCTGATATGCGAGAAGTGGCACCCATCTGCCACGTCTCATGCGGCGACGCGCGCTCGCCCCCTTGGCCACCCACCCAGTATTGACCACGTGCCCATCAACTCTGCGTGCACTTCTCCCTGTCAACTCAGCTGCCCATCTTCACCTTAACACGTGACGTATACGCCTACAGCGGGACACTGGGTGCCAAGCAGATGGCTGCGATGACATGAAGGTGCAACCATGAGCGTAACTCGGAGGACAACAGCACGCGCAGATGGAACGCGCGACAAGGAACAAGTTAGGGTTAGGATGGGTGCCCTCTGGATCCCACGGAGCGTGACCCAGGACCAGGAGTCAGCATCCACAGCTCCCATCATCAGAACATAACCTCGAAGTCCCTTGAGTAACCATGGGCAGTGTGCCCTGAACATTTCCCATCACTCCAATTGTCCTTAATTTTCTATCAATTTGGTGTTTGCAAGCTCAATAGGTCAATGAGCTATGAGTACTTACTACTTACCATTATTAATTAAATTCTTATATTAATGTTATTTCATCAGACACCCTTACTGTAGCAACTACATGTGGCAGCACCATTCCTCATTCCCGAGTGCTGCTCTGATGGCAAATTAAACTCTAAGCAGACGGACTTGCTTTGTGCGCCGCAGCCCCAAAGAACAACACAACAAATTAATTGAATGCATAATTAATGCACAGGAATAACTGCGGCATCCTAATGCATGCACAGGCTGAGGCAGCCGGCAGAGTCCTGCCTAAGCCTCGGAGCACCAATCCGTCCTAACATTTTAAACAAAAAAAACAACAACCGGGTCCTTTATTAAACTAACGTGTGACTCAAGCTGCATTCCCCTCGACGTAAAACACTGTAATAGCATTGGTAAGTGCCTGTGTTGGGAACGCAAAGCACGTGAAACATGCTGCACAAACAGCGCTTCCTTGTCCGACTCCGGTACCACACTGGTGCCACACCAGTGCTGCCGTGACTCCAGCCGAAATCCCGAGCCTGCGAGGTCAATTGCGTCCACCCGAGGGCCTTACCCTGCACCATCCATGCTCCCTTGCATCTGACTCGGTACTCTGGCCAGAAAACAGACATCTCCTTCTGTTGATCTCATCGCAAACAGCAGCCCCGCAGTCTGTATGCATGACGCATAAGCTTATGCTTTCTGCTGAGAACACTTTGTATGTATGCATGTTCAACTTCTTTCGCACCGTACGTAGCCAAGCGTGCTAATCGGAGGTGCGGGGGAAGGAAATCAGACTTTTCATGGACTGCGTGTGCTGCCATGGCATCACTCCAAAGAGCTCGCAAATAAGAGGGTGAATGAGTGATGCACGGGGCGGATTCACAAGCTCCCATCACCAGTTGTAGTCTGGATATTACCTACCTACTCTATTTATAGACTCCCCAACATGTATGTATGTAGAACTTTTTTCACATCATATGTAGCCAACAATGCTAATAGGAGGTGTGGGGAAAGGACAACAAACTAAACACAAAAAGCAGTTCTCAAGAAGTGAGTTCAAAGGTCCTCCAATGTGGGTCAATGGCAATACATTGAGGCAATTTGAGTACCAGTGTTTGATATCGGTTCTTGGTCGATAGAGTGAAACCCTCTGACCCAGCAGCAACAGGAAGTTGAGACCACACTGACCACTTCCTCCTGAAAGCAGTCCCAGCCAAGAGCCAAGCTCAGCCTTCCAACAGCATGTCTTTTAGATAGAGCAACCATTGCGCTTATGCAGTTTTAATAATTAATCACCATAAGTGGTGGCTGGGAATGTCTCGATATTTTAACCCACATTTACAGCCTGATCAAGGCCACGTGTGATCTCAGTGCTGACCTTTTAAAGCTGTGGAATTTTTCTGAGATGAATATCGTTAAAGAAACTAATTTGTTACATCCACATAGAAAACAGCACTTCACACACACCACATAATGTAAGCCATGCTCAAATTTAAACACCCTTCAAAAATCAATAATGAACTGCCTGGAGCACACAATACAACCCTTACACACACGGTTAGCACACACTATGCTCATATGCACAAATCACGCAGAATTGTGCAGAACATGTAACCAGCAAGATAAGAAAAATGACTTGCTGGCTTGGTCAAGGCCTGGCCGAGCCTAATGAACAGGCCCCTTGTGCCACACTCTTCCGCTCCTGGAAGGCCCACCAGGGTTGCAGTGCCTTCTTTTTTTGTATGGCATTTGAAAAAAGCAACAGGCTACTATTGCATGTATTATTTTGTAAGCCATTCCAAGTAATCCGGGGTGGTAGCTGAGTAGAGTCAACTTGTTTCTCCAGAATACGTATGCCATATTTGGCAGTCCTCATCAGTGATATCCTGATGGTTGGTACCTCACTGCATTCGCAGATTAGAGAGTCCTTGATCTTCAGTTTATGGATGAAATATCCACACCTTCCACCTGCCGATGCACCGCGTATCGCTCTTGCAAACTAGCTGGTTAACTGGCTCAACTGGATTTTCCGTATAACAAATAAACATCGAATTGAATGTGTTTTTCGGACACGGTAGAGATTTGTCCACTTTCAGTGGGACAGAAAGACTGGGCTATTCCTTCGTCGGGTCTTCAATAGGACAGCAGTGTGAACCATAAGGTACTGTTTGCCACGGGTCCTACAGTGTAGCACCAGGACCGCCTGTACACGTGTGTAGGGAGATCTTTATCTTTGCGAGCGGACGAGAGGCGGGCTCACGTACAGTCCGACCCAACAGGAACCCCGTAGCGCTCTCCCAATGCTGCCTGTGCCAGGCCAAGACGAACTCACTCCATCTCAAGTTAACTTCCCTCACCCGAAACGCTAACTCACGTGACAGCTCCTTCTTACCAAAGGAGTGCATGTCCACACGGACCTTGTCTAGCATCCTGCTCTGTTATTCACAGGCTATGCGGCACACATAATGTATGCTGCACTGTGGCAGACGATTGCCCAACTGCTTTTAGGGGCTTTATGCCACAAATAACGTGGCTGCACTGTCCAGCGCTAAATGGGAAGGGCCTGCAGGGTGGCCCTGGGAAACCAGAGCTCCCGATTATCGGCACCACTGCAGGCATTGCCGTGATATAAAACAGAGCTACCACGAATTCGAGGAGGCTCGAGCCCATCCAATAACTTTCCCCGAGAGAATGTAAATTCATCAATTTGCTAGCATCTGCGCGAAGCAGACACCAGGCCACGGAGTCGCCACAAGCAACACGCGGGGTCTGGACGGAGCTCCGACCCGGCAGGCGCTCAGGAATCAGGGCCCACGAGGCATGGCACCGCCACCGTGGCCTAAAGTGCCCGCGCGTTATCTCTGGCGCGGCGTTAATCTTCATAAAAGTTTATGGGCAGTGTCATTAAAATAATCCACTATGCAAGCCATGAACTGTGTGTACTGACGGTGCATCCACTAATGACATAAGCGGCTTGTCTCAATCACCCCGCCACGGCGGAGATCAACAAAGCGTGCGGCAAAGACGGTGCCATCGGTACAATTTAATAAAGCGAGAGGGTCATCAAGCTTTGAACCCTTATTTGCACTTGTGGTTTGTAAAAGTCTTGCCCAGGGAGGGATAAATCAGCTGTCGTGGCAAAGTTCGCCACCACCACACCCAGAGAGAGCGGCCATCAACGAAAGACACATGAACACCCGGTCAACGAAAACACACGGCGCGAAAGCCCCGTTCCAGCGAAGCCTTGTACATCGCCAACGTAAACAACACGCGTTCACAACACCACCAACATCACCGCACAGTACTAGCACGCACCGCCAACATCAACTAACACACACCATAACACCACTAATTCACTCATCGCCAACGTAAACATACATTACCAACATGATTGACACACATCACGAACATTATCAACAACATATATCACTGACACCCGTCGCGAATCTCGCCAACACAGCACCACCACTAACCATGACACATCCCCAAGACCACCAATGAACATCGCCAACATCACCATTACACACCACGATCACGAACAAACATTAACATCAGCTAACACGCGGCAACCGCCCGCACTATTGAAGCTCATTCCGCCGCGTATCCCAATGGAACCGGCCTGGCCTGGCCACCCACCGCCATGTGCTCGGGTGGCGCTGGGTGGATGAGGAAGTGGGATCAACCTCCAGCCCGTACCGAAGCATCACCAGTCGAGTGCAACAGGCCAGCGCTAAGAGGGCAGCTGTTCTTTAGTGGGGGCAGGGGGTGGGCAAGCCCGTGCCCCCCGGTGAGTGGGGGGGGCAAGCCCGTGCCCCCCGGTGAGGGGGGGGGCAAGCCCGTGCCCCCGGTGAGGGGCTAACCCCGTGCCCCCAGGTGGGGGGGGGCTAACCCCCGTGCCCCCCGGTGAGGGGGGGCAAGCCCGTGCCCCCCGGTGAGGGGGGGCAAGCCCGTGCCCCCAGGTGGGGGGGGGGGGGCTACCCCCCGTGCCCCCCGGTGGGGGGCTAACCCCCGTGTCCCCCGATGGGGGGGTTAACCCCCGTGCCGAAGACAACCCCTGGGCGACCACGGACACCACCGCTCACAGCCCGCGGGGCACATGGCGCTCGCCAACACAAACCACCACACTGCCGCCTCCACCACCAGCACTTCCACATAATCATTACCACCTCGCATATAGTTTGTGAGCAGTTGCGCAGCGTGGGTGGTGGCATGGGCCTTAAGTGCAAGTACTTAAATGAAGCCCCATGCCCCCCTCCTGCAAAAGCCTGGCACTTTGCCCCCCCCCCCGCGACCCATGCGCAGCTGAACCGCCTGCACACTACACATCGACGCCACTGTCAACGGGCCTAAAAACGATCCAGAGATGATCGTCGGGGACCCTGACCCACGTGTTTAACCGCTGCTGGTTGACCGAAGCCCATCTGCAGCTGCCGATAGGCCCTGCTCCAAGATAATGATTTGTTCCTTGTCCAAGTGAGTTGTGTCTGCCAGATCCACGGTCTCGGCCAGCCCAACCCGGCCGACATGGCTGTGGTTGCAGCTACGCGAATCTTATTTGACAACGTTGGTTCCAAATGTGCGTGTGTGAGAAATCGACGTTTGGTTCAGCCTGGACGGAGCCGGTGTGCTGCCCGGTATCGGCAGGCCTCGCACGCCAACCCGCGCCGGCTCTCCTGGCGAGAGGACTGTGGCGTGTGGGGGTGGTTTGGGTAATCGGCATCATTTCGTGTTCCTCATACCAACGAAAGTGCGTAGTACATTACGGTGGATGTGGTGTGCCGGTGTATATCTAGGTATGTGTTATCCGTACCACGGTGTGTTTGCCCGTGAGCGTTTGGTGTGTACCACGATATGTGGTGTTATTCCAGGGTGTGTATGGTGTGTACCAGGATGTGTGGCGTATAATTGTGTGTGCGTTGTGTGTACGGATGAAACACGGCACGTTGGCAGAACGGAGAGCAGATGGTGCATCTCTGCCAGTCATCTCGGTCAACTGGGTCTGTCCCGCGACCTGCCAGCAGCGAGCATTCCACACGAAACATGGCCTGAAGGTGCACCTAGCCTGGCACATGCGCCGTGCTAAAGTCCCGACCACTTCGTGGATAATGGTGGTTGTAGTGTGTACTCATGTGTGCACGGTGTATACCACTGTGTAAAGTGTGTTTACCTGGGCGTGGAGTGTGCGTGGTGAGCTCCAGGTGGTGAGCGTGGTGAGCACCAGGTGGTGAGCGTGGTGAGAACCAGGTGGTGTGCGTGCTGAGCGTGGAGAGCGCCAGGTGGTGAGCGTGGCGAGCGTGGTGAGCACCACCAGGTGGTGAGCGTGGTTAGCGCCAGGTGATGAGCGTGGTGAGCACCAGGTGGTGAGCGTGGTTAGCGCCAGGTGGTGAGCGTGGTGAGCACCAGGTGGTGTGCGTGGTGAGCGTGGAGAGCGCCAGGTGGTGAGGGTGGTTAGCGCCAGGTGGTGAGCGCCAGGTGGTGAGCGTGGTGAGCACCACCAGGTGGTGAGCGTGGTGAGCGCCAGTTGGTGTGCGTGGTGAGCACCACCAGGTGGTGTGCGTGGTGAGCACCACCAGGTGGTGAGCGTGGTGAGCGTGGTGAGCACCACCAGGTGGTGAGCGTGGTGAGCGCCAGGCGGTGAGCGTGGTGAGCACCAGGTGGTGAGCGTGGTGAGCACCGGGTGGTGAGCGTGGTGAGCACCACCAGGTGGTGAGCGTGGTGAGCACCACCAGGTGGTGAGCGTGGTGAGCACCGGGTGGTGAACGTGGTGAGCACCGGGTGGTGAACGTGGTGAGCACTGGGTGGTGAGCGTGGTGAGCACCAGGTGGTGAGCACCACCAGGTGGTGAGCGTGGTGAGCACCACCAGGTGGTGAGCGTGGTGAGCACCACCAGGTGGTGAGCGTGGTGAGCACCGGGTGGTGAACGTGGTGAGCACTGGGTGGTGAGCGTGGTGAGCACCAGGTGGTGAGCACCACTAGGTGGTGAGCGTGGTGAGCACCACCAGGTGGTGAGCGTGGTGAGCACCACCAGGTGGTGAGCGTGGTGAGCACCACCAGGTGGTGAGCGTGGTGAGCACCGGGTGGTGAGCGTGGTGAGCACCACCAGGTGGTGAGCGTGGTGAGCACCGGGTGGTGAGCGTGGTGAACACCACCAGGTGGTGAGCGTGGTGAGCACCGGGTGGTGAGCGTGGTGAGCGTGGACCGGCTGCCTCTCACACAGCAAAGGGACCCTCGGCCGCGTTCAAAGCAAAATCTCAGCATTGCCGGGTGTTGTTTGCGATGGCGCTCGTGACGGTGTTGGTTATGATGAGGATGGTGGTGGTGCCTGTGTCAGGGCTGTTGCGTTTTTAGGGTCGTTGTGATGGCGGTTCTAGTTATTTGCAGTTGTGTTGACGGCGAGAGATATTGGTTGTTGCGGTTGGAACGTGGTGCTTGTTGAGGCTGTGATTACGATGGTGGATATGTTGGTGATGGTGGTGATGGTGGTTGTCGACATGGTGAATGTTTTATTTAATCGCGCGTCAGGGCCGCGTCCTCTCAGGTGTTCTCGGACAAAAGGCGGCGCGGGCGGCCCGAGGCGGCGAGCGCGGAGGACTCCATCTGCGCTCCTCGTTCTCGTGGATTCATCCGCGGCCCTGGCGGCTCCTGCCTACCCAGCTCCCTCACCCCTCCATGTCTCTCTCCCTCTCCGCCTCCCCGCCTTTATGCCTCCCTGGCTTCTGCGCGTCTCTCCCCTTTCCTCCCCATCTCCCACGTCTTTCTCCCTGCGTCTCTCGGCACGTCTCGCCATCTATCCCCCCCCGCCACCCCAAAACGCCTCAGCGTCTCTCCCCCGACTAGCTGCGTCTCACCTTCACGGGCCTTCAACAACACGGTGTTGGCGACGATGTTCTCCAGCTCCATGGGACAGGGCGGGCGGCGGCGGCTTGGGATGCGTCTGCTGCGTGCGGCTCCGTGACCGCGTCTCTCCCGTCAGGCGCCACGGACACCTATCGCGCGACCGAGCGGGGTCCTCGCCAGCGCTGACTGAAAGTCAGGCGCCGCGGGCAGCCCCGCGTGGGAGGCAGAGGGGTCCTCAAGACGCGACCCACGCCTATTGGCTGCCGCTCACGAGCGCGCACTCGAGACACGCCCCCCTGAGCTCCGCCCCCTCCCCGAGCTTCGCCCCGCCCCCTCGCCCCTCCACGATCGGGGTCCGAACGGAACGAGGGATCATTACTACCCGGGTTAGGTCGGAACCGTGACCGGGATTGTTTTCCCACCCCCCGCCACACACCACGTCCAGCAGTCTTATACCTCCGGATACGCTCGTGGCTACCATGAGCCACGTGCCACCCTCTTCGAAGGTCAACCGGCGATCCCGGAGCACAAAAACATGCGCTCACGGCACGTGAAGCGGAACCAGAGCCGAACCCAGAACTCAAATGATTCCGATTGGAATTGGACCTAAACACGAACGCAGCTGGAACCGACCGCAGTCACCCCCCCCACCCCCGTCCCGTGAGTGGTTGGGAGTGGCGCGGTCAGGGCAATCGACGCGGACATCTAAAGTGGTGACCCGGCTTGCAAGCGTGTCTCGTCAATGCCAGCGTGACGCCGATTGTCTTCAAACGCCGCCCACCACCTCCCAGCCAGTGGCACAGTTGGGAACGTGCGATTTTCCCTACGTTCCCATTATCGATCAGTCGAGTAATCAAATACAGGAATTGGATATCCCAGCTCTCATGCCAAAACACCCCAATGAGAATGACGTACAGCCATTCTTTGTTAATCCACTGCTGGATGAAGACCGACTCAAGCCGGTGCGGGGTTATTTGACCATTCACCGCGCTGGTCATTGCAGGATGTTGAATGCGAGCAGCAGAGACCGGACAGCACAAAAGCAGGACAATGATGTACAGGATCTTGTTGTACTCTGCCCTCTGCTGCCCACAATAAGTGGCTTCCCACCGTCTCCTCACACCAAACTATTAAACTTTTTTTATTTTACCATCGTAAGGCGCACCGAGCTAGATAGCTCTTTTCTCCCGAAGCGACCTGGCCACAAATGATAACTCAACTTAGTGGCGTATGCGGAAATGTATAGCAGCCGAATAATCTAGATGTTGATTCTAAATGTGGATGGAAAAACTGGAGAACCTGGAGAAAAATCCACGGAGACACGCAAACTCCAAATATATAGCAGGCGTCAGGGTCTGGATTGAACCCACAACCTGTATCCCAGGCGAGGTAGTTAACGTCTCGCCACCGTGAAACCCCACTATCCAAATTCATCGTCCCGATGAATTTCAGCTGCTCGTGCAAAGAGATCCACGTCCGGTCGCACGACATGCAGATATACAATCTTGCAACGGAAGGCGTCAGAGCTTTCTTGAAGCAAAACAGAAATAACGCACATGCATGGAATCTGTGCCGCGCTGCAACATGCATGTCCTCAGTATGTAATTGGGATAACGTTCCGTTTCATGGCTGAACGATGAGATGACGTCCACGCAATTGTTTTGGCCAAACAATTTAGCTCTGGATGTTTTTACACCAAGAGTTGGGCAACCTTTTGATCATTATCGCTGGTTTTCTATTGGGAAATCCCTAATAACGAGACTTTAAACGAACATTTAGCTCAGTGTATCATCTTTATAAACGTTATCATGCTCCCCTTCCCATTACACAGCTAATATATGTTCACTTTCAACCGGTTGGAAAGAGTTAAATAGGGAGATAATCTGTGAATTGCTTCTGTCGTGAAGTTGAGCCGCTGCCTGCATTCAGGCTCGGTATGGGGCTCAATGCCCTGGATCCCATGCACTGGGGTAACAAGCACGTGGGACCACGGAGACGAGCTACGGCGCCTTTCACGTTCTGGAAACGTGGCGACGGGAGGAGACGTGAAGGAGCGAGGGCCCTTCGACGTGTCGACATGTCTCCTCCTGTTGTGGCGACGGGAGGAGGTGCTCCTCTCTGGCGAGAGCGATCCGAGCCCCGTGCAGTTTATTCAAACGTGTCATAAACTTCACCAACGAAACAAAGTGTTCAATATCTGCAAAACTGCTTGTAAAACAATTTATAGAAATAAAAAGTAAAACAGACACCGTTATGAACATAAATGCTTGTGTTTTAGGCTTCGGTGAAAGATGTAAAGGGGTGATTGTGACAATCAATCATATTTAACATCTCTTTAGAGCACCTTCACAAAAAGATAATTGGTTATTTTTGTACGTTGGAAGCCCCAAATGCTGCATGCAAATTGAACACTTCCATGACAAAGAAAAATCAGCTTAAAACACCAGACGTGTGCACGGCAACCCTGCCCAGCATATACATTCCACCCCTGGTCTAGTGTCTCAACAGTATCTGTTATAAATGTTCATCTACCGCCGACATTCTACGAAAACCGCACATGCGCTCATTTTAACGCGACAGTTGAACCCAGGCACAGAATGCATTCCAACAGTGTATTGAACCATCCGCCGTGTGTGGCTGGCAGCGGAGTCGCGTTTCTTTGTGTCGGTGGCAAAAACATGCAGGATGGGCGAGGACGGTCGGAGCTTCCTGGTCGGCGTCGCATCACGCATCGTCCACCCTCGGGAGGGCCGGCGCTTCATTGCGCGCGAGAGGATGCAGTCAACCTGGGCGTTTGTTGCAGGGCCGAATTTCTCCCTGGCCACAGCTAGTACTCCTCGGCAGTGTCTGTACGTGGAAGGGGAAGGCCCCGCTCCTTGAGGGCCTTTATTTTGGCCTTCTCAGCCTCGGCTTTATCCTGCTGCTCCTCGCGCTGGGCCTCGAGGATTGCTTCGATGGACACCCTCTCAAGGCTCGTCTCCTGCTCCTTGTCCGCGTCCTTCAAAACATTTGAGTAAAGATGAAGAATGCATTGAGGCTTAACGATCGTCAAGTTCGCACCGTCAGATTGGCTGTCGGTGACAAGACACAGGATGTTTTGCCGACATCATGACGAAAATGACCAAAAATGCGTGCGTGAACAGTAAAAACAACTTCCAGTAAAACTTAGCGTGAAAAAATTAGTGTTTTGGTTGAAAGTGGAGACGTTGATGCGCGACTTACAATCTCGCCGAGCAGGACAACGTTCTCACCGCGCACCACAAAGATCCCACGCGGGATGTCCCCATACCTCTTCCCTACATGGATCCGCTCAATGGTCTGGTGCAGCACCAAGTTCGCTACGTGGGACACGCGCACACGAGAATACGGGCTCGGTGGGCATGTGTCTGGCACTCTCCACATACCTTGACACAGCTCCATTTAGGCCTCAACTCTAACCAAATATAAATGTTTTATTTCTTGCACTGGCGATCACGTGTGTGTTCATGTGAACACAAACGGGTGTACGCTGAATGAAAAATGTACTCAAAGACATTTTTTTTTTAAGTTCTCCATAACCAAAGTTGGTGGTCAGTAGTTTTATATATGTTTGCATATTGCAACATACATCTAGAGAGAGCAATTGCTGGCACTATGTGTGGTGGTGGCCTTTTCATTCAAATTAGAGATAAAAACACTGACTTAGTCACCGACCAGACCCCCACATCGCAGTCTAATGAGCTTCCCAGTTACTGTGATGTGCAAGAACAGCTGGAAACTCCTGATTCGTGCTCCCCACCGATCAGCCCTTATTACCCCCCACCAAGGCACTGACGCACACACACCCCTACGCGAGTACCCAGTGACAGTGGTGACTACAGAACATTGCACCTGCTAAACATGTGCTGCACCTGAACACATACTCAAGCCACAACCTGTCTCCTCTGAATAAAGTAACATTACTGGATAAATAAGCAGACAATTACACCTTCACATATCCATCTCTTCATATAAAGTTTTTTTTACTTCACATCCCATCAACCACATTGCTTTCTGGGAGTGAATCTTTCGGCAGCATTGGTTTAATACAACTAAACTCTGGACAGTATCAACATTCTGTGTCTCATCAGCAGGCTTGCTGGGTGGTGGCGCACGCCTATAATACAGAACTCCGAGGCAAGGGTTTGTGGATCACATAAATTATTAGAAACTCCCCATGGACGTCGAGGTGCCATACCCAGGAAAATATGGTACAGCATACGTGGACTCCACCTGTTCCATCTGTATGGGACAGTGTTGCCCCCTTCCATATATGAGTTTTCTCCGGGTGCTCCAGTTTCCTCCCACGTGTATAAACACTCATTAATCGGCCGGATCGCCGCCTGGCTGCCTTCCTGTACGTCTGTGGTTCCTCGCGCCTCTGAGTTGGTCTCTCTAAGAATAAGCAAATACTCTGCGTGTTACACAAGTTGTAATTATTATTATAAATCAATGATAGTGAACTGCCAGATGTTTATAGGAAAGGACCCTCTCTTTAATATGGATTCTAGTTCAACTCAAAACTATATAATACACAGCACAACAATCATGTGTTGATGTGGATACTAACAAAATCAATATGCAGGCAATATGCCTCCTTTCCATATTGTCTCTACACATACAAATATACGTTTATTTTAAACATCCAATCAAACAGCCTTCCGACAGATATGTGAAAGAGGCATATTGTCTGCTTAACAACGCAAATTACAATTCTGTGCAAAGTTACTGAGCAGCTTCACTCACAAACAAGCATTCAGCTCTGCTAGGTATTTGATGCAGATAACACCAAGTGTCACTGCCACGTAAATTAAGACAGTTGGTCTCGCAACACTGAACAAGGCAGTCACGTTCATCCACCATAGGTTACAAAATTAACTGCCATCATTTTTCGTACGATGCACAGCGGCCGGTGGCGCCTGTTAGTCACACAGACATCACTGGAGAAGCAATGAGAAGCACTTGTACAAAATGAAGCATCATCGCAACTTTATTCAGCGGGGATATATTAATTACAAAACTAGTGGGGGGAAATTATGAAAATGTCAGAAGTAGCCATCAAAATAATCTGTCTGGAGGAAACATGACAACTCTTGGTCTGATTGAACTGTCGTGTTAACTTAGCCAGAACCAGCACAGCTTCTCTATGTGATCGCAAATGTATTACTGTACCACGAGAGGGGTTGAAATAACCTCTGAATAAATATTCATTAGCGTTATTGTGAAGAATATAAATACAATAAATAGTCTCCTTCAGATATCAATCATTCCACGTAAAAATGTAACTTCTTACACAATTATTATATTTATACACAAAAAAATCTCCATGACTCTCATGATTATTTTGAGTTACGTATTATATAATTTTGCATCGGACTGGGACCCCACAGTGTAAGGGGAGAGCTCTTGCCTGGAAGATCGGCAGTTCACCAGCACTGATTCAAGCAAATATGACTGCTGATAAGACGAACCAGTCAATACTTATCTACAAACAATGCTGCGGAATTAATGCACTCCCTGAAGGCCGTGCAACTTATCCGTTGTGTAAGACATACTTAATTTTTTTGTATGCGGAGAAACGAATATGTGAAAGAGACAGTCCGCTTCTTTAGTCTCCTATGAAGGCCGCACCTGAAGCAGGGCGCCCTCTAGTGGTGACTGAGTCGCATTCTTGCGCAACTCACCGGAGTGAGCCACTTCACAGTGCCAACGTCCTTGGGACACTGCCCTTTCCAGGCGTTTTCTGTCCTTTACATTTGACTCACAATGCGGGCGGAGCTAGGCGTGAATGCATTAGCATCTCCCGGCCATAACCGCCCTGACCAAACGAAAATATCCCCCTCATAGTCTTAACAGACTTTTGTGGCAAGTGCTGTTAGCGGGGATGGGTGGCCAGCACCACGCTCGGCCGCCTTTGTCTCCCCAGTGCTAATGTGTACACGTCGCACCAGGTACTCATTTGAGTAGACCTAGGAGAAGCCGACCAGGACCGGTTCAAACACCCACCACTGTGAACAGTTATAAGCGGGAATTGAACTCGGGACGCCAGGTTCGTAGCGCAGCGCACAAACTACTACATTACTGCTCCCTACACATCTGTAACCACCACCATCGTCAACGAGGACTCTCAACTCTAGCGGAGAAACTGCTTCGCCCCCTGCCATGGTTCAAGGCTCACATCTCCTCGACAGTGCGGGAGGACTCACCGAACTGGTCAATGCTCCTAAGGAAGCCGATGAGCGTGCGCCCGTCCCGCAGCAGCACGAGGTGTTTCTCTGGGGACATAAGAAGAAACCGTGAGGATATAAAACACCACCATCACCACTATTGCCAAAACACCATCTTCCCGAGCACCAAATCATTACCACCAACTAGCATCATAATCACCACCAGAATCACCATTATTATCACCACCATCATCAGGACAAGTGTATCACCGAAAACCACCATCATTTCCAACAACAGCATCACCACCATCATCACCCCTACCAGCAGCATCACCAACAATTACCACCATCAAAATCATAACCACCACCACCTGCCATCATCATGCGGGTGGATTAACCATCATAGGCACGCAGTCTGCTTGACAGTGGATGTTAACATCCCGTGACGTCATTCTGAGAAGAGTATGCCATTGTGCGAAAGGCATCATGGTCCAAATAAAAAAAATATGCGCAATTTACTTCATTGGGAACAGCAATTGTCGCACCCAACTGAAAAAAATCAGAACTATTTTTTATTTTCTTGGTTCTTTCGGTAAAGTCACGTAGAAGAGAAGTAATAAAATAATAAAAATAAAACATAATAAAATAATTCTCACGACGTTTCGGCCACAACGCAAGCAGCCGTCCTCAGGTGAAGAATGAAACACCGCCTGAGGACGGCTGCTTGCGTTGTGGCCGAAACGTCGTGAGAATTATTTTATTATGTTTTATTTTTATTATTTTATTACTTCCCTTCTACGTGACTTTACCGAAAGAACCAAGAAGATGAATCCCTGCAGTCACGAAAGCTTTAAATCGAAATTTATTTTTTATTTTATTTAAGACTCAACTATTTTATTTTACCAGGCAAGGCCCACTCAGGTATGTACAATAGCTATTTTTCAGAAACGACCTGGCCGCAAATGATAGCTCAACGAAGTGGCTTATCGAGTATATCAGCCAAATACTCGAAACGCATGTTTATAAATGTGGAGGGAAAACCCGGAGGACCTGGAGAAAAATCCACGCGGCCATAGGGTCGATGAAACCCACGACGACCACCTGTATACCAAGCGAGGTAGTTAACATCTCCTAACCACCGTTGCGCCCCAACTGAAAAAGTTGAGTCTCAGTGAGGCTTTCCTGGGTAAACGCGTGTAATGATAACGACAAATCACCACCCCCATCACCAACAACCACCACCATCGTCAACATCATCACCAACAAAACCACGCCAAACACGACCACAAATACCATGGCCACCATCACCACCACAAGCAACATCAACACGACCATCGCGACCAACATCATCATTCATAACCTCAGCGACCACCAGCAAAAACAAAGATCCTCCAATATCGCCTTTAACAGACTGCTGTGACAAGTGTTGTTCGTGAGCACCTATTAAGGCTCGTGCAGTGGGGGCAGCACCAAGCCCGGCCGCCTTTATCTCTTCAATGCTGTTTAAAAACTGCATCAACACTTGTTTAAGGCTGCGTCAACCAGCAGTACCACCATCATCATAACCACCACCGGCCACCATCAACCAAGACCATCACACCACGCCGATCTCTGGCTCCCCCTAGGGATTCTCCGCAAGCCCCCCCCCCCTTAACCCGCGTTTGCCGGCAGCGGTTGCAGGCTCGTGCTTGGACCTCCGCGGAGACCTTTACGCGGGACGCCACTCACTGTCGATGTCCTCGATGAGGCTCGCCGTGCCGGGCATGTAGTTCATGGTGGCGCCTCGTCTCCTCCCTCGTACCGCCCGCCCGCCCGCTCGGAGGAGTCGAAGCCCAACTCTAACTCATGCCGGAGGGCGCGCCTGGCGGGAGAACCTCGACTTCCGGGTCATCGGGGACACGTGACCGGTAAGCCTCGCCCCGCCCCCCATAGCAACCGCGGGGGGTGCGCGGGGAGGGGAATGATTCACATTCCAGGGCCTCGTGCGAACGCCGCGTTCAGAGCGCGGGGCGCCGTTCAGGGGGTCTCCCTGTGCAGTGAGGAACGGTCGCTTGTGTTTTAGGAGCGGGAAGCCGCGGAACTTCGACAATAAATGGATGGCGAATATGTGAAGAGCTTAATTAACTAATGATTCCACTTCGCCACCCCGGTCTCGTGACGTCATCGCGCCCTCAACCTCACCCCAATCTCGTGACGTCATTACTCTCGTTCTCTCCACAGGGTCTCCTGACGTCATCGTCCCCACTCCACCACTTACCCGAATCCCGCGTTATGTTATCACTGCTCTCCTTAACCTCACCCCAATGTCGCCCTTCTGCAACTCACCAGTGTCGCGTGACGTCATCACCCCTCTCCCCGCGTGGTCCAAATCCCGCCTCACGTCATCAACCCCCTGTCCTCGCGTAGCGTCATAACCAGCCCCCCTCTCCTCACCACTCCCGCGTCTCGACGTCACTCAAAATCGTAATATTTATTATTTATACACAACATTATTTCTCTACGATGCTCATGATTATTTTGAGTTACATTTTATAATTTCGCGTTGAACTGGAACCCCCAGTGCAAGGGAAGTTCCTTTTCCTAGATGATCGGCAGAATCTCTCTTTCGACTGGAGGAATCATTTTGAGCTAAGGGGCCGTTCATAAATGACGTCACGCGATTTTGAACGATTTTTGACCCCCCCACTCGTCACACGGCGTCACAAAGTCAGACCCCGCCTCAAATATGACGTCACAAAGCTCTGCCCCCCCCCCCAAAATAAAACATGCTTCAAATCGCTTTAAACTATTGTCATTGTCGTGCGTATTTAATGTGGCGCTGCACTCTGATGTAGGATAAAACATTTATTAAAAAGTCGATTTAATTAAGTAGAACAAGTTGCGTATTTTGATGTGACGTCACATTTCTCAGATGTCCAGTGGAGTGACATCAACCCCTCTTCACCCCCGTCTCGTGACGCCACTCTTTCCTCACCTCAATGTCGTGACGTCACAATCCCTCTACTGCAACTCAGCAGTTTTGGGTGACGTCATCACTCTTCGCCTGTCCACCTTCGTCTCGTGAGGTCATGAAGCCCTTCGCACACCGCCCCAATCTCGCGTGACGTCAATGCAGCACTCCTCTCTTCCACACCCCCGCGTCTATGACGACATTAACCCCTCCCACCTCAGCACAATCTCGCGTGACGTCATCTGGATGCATTACAAAGATCGCCCGTGGAGCCTTCACAGGCTGCGGTTGGCGAGCACCTATTAAGGCCGGAACGGCACATAAGTGGGAGGCCGCCTTTGTCTCCCGAGTGGCAATGTTTACACATTGCACCAAGTACTCATTTGAGGCCGAGTCTACCTAGGGGAGGCCTAGAACCAATTCAGATATTTGTCACTGGTGTTAGTCGTGAGCAAGAATAAAATTCGGGTCTCCGGGTGAAGCAACAATGCACCAGCACGTGCACATTAACTGATCGAACCACTCCATCTCTTATGTGGACACTCGTGAGCATGTTTACTCCCTTGACTGCCACTCTGTTAGCAGCCTCGACCACAAGCCACCATCCCTTCCACCGACATGTCCTTCCCAAGCCAACTTTCCAACTTGTGCGTGTTCTCTAACCTATGTGTTTCACTTCCTGTCAGTCTAATTCTGAACACACTTCATGGTCCAAATGACAATACTTGCCTCAAATAATATCACTCAGCAGCCATTGTGCAAATTCAAAACTTTATTAGAAAAAAAATAACGTTACAGTGAAGTCTCGAACCATACTCCTTGCTCCTGCCCTCTGCGAAATAGTCGTACTACCTAAGTCTCTCGTGAGTGGCTCTCTCCTCCCAGAGTTGAATTGATGCACTGGAGGATCGGATTAAGCCATCGCTTGGTTTCCCCCTCTGTGCAGAACTAGCGCTCATGCATGCATATGTGATGTGTCGGTGACACCAGGCAGGTGGGTTCCTATCTTTTGCGCTTGCGCTCGTGAGAGGCAACGGGCATGGTGAGGGGTACAGCCAACTCAGCTATGCGGGACTTGAGGTCCGTGGTGGAGCTCGTTGCTCGGGTTTGTTTGATCTTCAATCCCAGAGCACGCGCCACCTCCAGGATCCTGAACAGGGCAGAGCAAAACAGGTGGCATGGTTGTGAGAGCAGTCATGACACAAACGAAGTCAAGTGCGATTGAGCATGACACAGATGAGTCGATGATCGCGACATCTGTCCCGAGAGGGTGACCTCTGCGGGTGGCCGTCAGGTTTGACCATTGTGCTATTGTAGTGGCCGACAATTTCGTTGCTGCTTGCTTTAGCCACATGTGCATGCTGACATGACCCAAGGCCAGCTCATACCCAACTCTGAAATCATGGCCATTAGAATGCTGCATAGAAAATATAGAATAACCTCTAACAGGATTTCAAAACACAAACACACGACTCTCCTGGCCATACTGATGAAGGCGCTCAAAAAAGCTCTCAAGCCGTCAATTTAACTTGCAATCAGCGATTTTGAGCCAATTAGGATCAAAAGAAAAGCATTGCAGTTAGTGTTACAACTTAAACCCATCTGGATGACATCAAATGTGCAGAGCTCCAGACCCCATCACTTACTTTTTCTCGCTGACCTTGAAGTCCTTCTGCAGTAGCGAGAGGTTGATTGAGAACGAGTTGAGGTGCAGCGCCAGCACCAGCACGTACGCAATGATCTTGTCCCGTAGCGCTGGGGTCATGGCATTCTGCACCCTGCACAACCGGACATGACCGAAGCACGACGTCACATGCGCACCACCAGAAACATCGGCACCACTGTGTGGAGGCCGCCAAATGGATTCTACTCTGACCTGCCATTGTCGAAGGAGACCGTTGTGAAGCACTCAAGGATCTTGGTCCTCAGCAGAGGCGGCATGTGGTCACCCAGAGTATCTGAATGACAAGCAACACCGGTGTTCTCCACTCAAAACTGTACCGACAGCACATTATGACCGAGGCACTGTGCATGCAGATAAAGTGCTATAGCTGCGAATATGCAAAATGCCACAATACCTCTGGAGGAGAACTTCTTCTTCTTCAGATGGAACAAGTGGACCAAGGTGTCCAGATACCACACGAGTCCAGCCCGTAATTTGCGGATAGAGGCATCATTAGGCGTGACTCGTATCGCCCCCACAGCAATTGCACTCAACCTGCGAGTGGGCGCACACACACACCGCTCTCTTGATGCACAACCAACAGCCCGTCATGCACAGTCTCTATGCAGCAGGCATTCTCCACCGAGGTGAAGGAGAGGCAGTGCAGCGTTTAGCCGAGGCATTATGATCACGCTCCCTCTGTCGGTACCATACGCACGTGGGGTCTTGTGCGACGAATGTCATGCCAGACTTCATTAGCTCCAAGTATTTGGAGCTCGCTTCCTCCGCTGCCTCAAGTTCGGTCTCTGTGATGACTGATAGAAATACCTCAGGAAAAAAAATTGAGACATGGGGACCCACATTCACTGTTACACTGACCTTAAACCGTCACCCCTGACCTTACAGCCCCAGCCGGCGACACAGAGGATACTGTCATTGAGTTTGTAGGCCTCGTCCGGAGAGGTGGCTTTGGGGTTGCACGGTGGAAGGTAGGGCGATTGCTCGAATGCCTCCACCCGCTGCACTTCACGTGTCAGGACTGCACACATGTGCGTGCACGTACAAGAGAGCCCACATTCACACACAATGCATACATACATACACACACCGTGTACTGGAATAATTTTGTACAATATTCATAATCCGCAATCTGATCGCCTCAGACTCTTAGTGGTCAAAACAGACGAAAGGTTGATGCAGATATTGTTGAGATTATTATTAAACCTTACAGATTGCGACACATGAGAGTGGCATATTCACAAGCGTGGAGAAGAACATGGTCGTTTGTACGCGAGCGAGCGCACTCACACTCGGAGCCACGGGTGTCGATGATTTGCTGAGCCACGGTGGAGACGGCCTTCTGAAGGCTCTCACCGCCCACCTGGTTCATGCGACGCGCTGAGAGCGCACGCTTCTGCTTGTGACTCCCAAACGCCTCGATCAAAGCGTCAACCTGCACGAAAGAACGAACCACACACATACGTCATCACCCAGCACCGCACACAAACGTACAAGTTATCACGCACACACAACAGGTTGATGCACCAACATGTTAATGCACCTCCGATTAGCACAGTTGGCTACTTATGGTGCAAAAGAAGTTCAACATCCATACAACAGTCATCATACATCACCATACACATGTTCATCAGTCATCGCGTATGACCACACAAACCCAACAACCGACAATGCAAGTGCAATGTGGATTCAGGTGCATGCCATCACCTTATCTCTATATGAGCCTTCTGATTTCTTCTTTGGCTCGTATTCTTTCTCTCCTGTTGGCAACATTGGTCACACATATTATTGGCTGCTCATAGGGCTACAAGTCTCATTTGGGTTTGGTTTGTGAGCCAATGCGATGAAGGTGCCGTGGTCTGCAGTGGGCGAGTCGGGGGCTTGGCGGCATCACCTTGGATATTGGGTTGCATCACGAAGTGCTGCGCGTTGTACACCCTCATCTTGCCATCCTTCTTGTCCAGCACGCCCACGTAGTACCTGCCACAGCAGAGGCACAGCCATCCACCACACTCCTTTCTTTGTACCCTTTGAAGTGCCCAGCACAGTTGGACTCAACGTCAGCGGATTTAAAGTTGTGTACAGGTCTAGCTCCACTACGTAAATACTTCCCGGCCGGCTATGGGCACTTAAGCGGTATTTACACGTGTACACAAGTCATGCTTCCAGGCTCCGCCTCACCTACACAGGCTGTTGCACCGTGACGTATTCACGCCAAAGTTTTGTCCCACGTAGTACAGATGCTCCGCTTGTGCCACCTGCAACACAAATGA